TCGGTTGCAGCTTGAGCAAAGGCATATTCCTAATTTGTGACTTCTGTCACTTTTAATGGCTGTAACATAACTCTGATTCTAATATTATATCTGCTCTATCAGAAGGATAACATTGTAGGGTACTATTTTAACTCTTATGTGGAAATGTGTTTATGAAAAACAAAGAAAGGACAATTCTACTTTTTTACTACTATTTAACATCTACTAAAACGCTACAATACTCATACTTTATCATTTTAAAACATTTTAACAGTTGCTCAGTCTCCCAGACTAAAAAAGTCAAAGTTTTTGTCTGTCAGATGTCTGAATACTTAACATGTATATTGCATTTGGTCACAGGTTCTGGTTGTAGCAATAGCATCGGCAATAGACGTTTTTCATTGGCTGGTTCTTGTTCTGCAAATGGCTGTGTCCAATAGATCATCAGATGTCCAGAAGCTAGGGACAAACAAAAACAAAAGAAAGAATCATGAGTATCTCTCTCATTTAGCACTCATCAATGTATGATTTCAAAAATATAAACATCACTCCCCAGTTTTCTCTCTCAGGTCCTCAGGTCCTCAGGTCCTCAGATCCTCAGGTCCTCAGATCCTCAGGTCCTCAGGTCCTCAGGTCCCCTGAGGGTGAGTCTCAGTCGTCATCAGGTCAGGTCATAGAGAGATGTCATCTTGGTCATCAGTAGGGTCCAAGCCATGGTTTTGGTCTAGATGCACATCAGGATCTCCAGATACAGTCTTTTCACTTGAAGCACATCAGGTCATTTGCGATTTACATTGGAGTAAACTTTTAAAATGCTTTTTCTCATGTTCTGCTTTTTCATGTATCTATATGTAAATGTGAATGTGTGAGTGTATGAATATGTGTGTGTGTGTGTGTGTATGTGAATTTTGGGGTTGTGTCTCCAGACTCCTCGAACCACCTGCAGGTGTCAAAGGTCACACTGTGGTGATGCAAACCAACTGGACACACTTTCAACTGCCTCTAGGTCTCTACCTGACGCTCCACCCATCACTGCCTCCAGAAACCTCCACTTTCATGGCCCCGGTCTCACTCCCACTTACTTCTGTAGTGGGGGGAGGGGCGTAGAGGTGGCATTGTTGCCCTTTGCTCTTAGCTCTGTGGCCTGTGGCTGGGTGGGCTTTGCGCTGTCCAGTGTCCAGCAGTGACCTCTCGTACAGTGTGGCAGAGTCTGAAAAACAATCCTTGAGACGGCCAATTTAAAAAAACAATAGATATCAGTATGCGAATGAGATTGTTTTTCTCTCTGAAGTCAAAACAATTTTGGAGCGCTCTTGGTTTTCCCACATGCGCTATGTAAATAAAAGATTACTTATTATCTTACTAATGATGACATTTTTAAGACCAGAAACTCTTAATATAAAAAAACAAGACTCAAATCTAAAAAAACCTTTTAAACTTTAAAATATGTATTATATACTTTTGTACTGTGTGATTAATTATCCATAACATTTATCTCATCATTTATTTTACTAATTTAAAATAATTGCAGCATTTTTCAAATGAAGTCAGTATGAAATGGAGCACATTTTAGACCAGGCTCCTCTGCTGTGGCATCAGCAGGAGCAAGGTCAGGCGTGTAGTCAAAACAAAAACATCACCGCTTGCAATGGGTGAATTGGGTAGTTTAACTTAATAATATAATACTTTTACAGCTAATGCTAATTCCCTCTTTCTTTTTAGACGAAGTCTATAATCAATAATCACTTTTAACACAGATTCTAATTTAAATGTTTGAAAAACGGCTTTTGTAACTAAAATAAAAACATAAAAAAATTCTCACAAACAGCTATGAAATATATCAGAGATACAATAATGGACTCACAAAATAAGCAGCAGATTTAAAAAGAAAAGCAAAGCTTTTAGCACTAATCTTTGGGTTTCAAAAACATATAATATTCAAAACTTATTCACTAATGGTGTTTAAAAACGTTTAACTGTGTCTAACACAATGTTCAATTGCAAATTTAGCAAATTTAAAAACTTAATAAAAGCCAAAATCCTAAAAGCAGTAGCTTTGCTCTGATTCAGAGCCAGAGCAGCAAAGGAGGGGGCCGTTTCCCCTGACAACGGCAGCAAGATAGAGCGCACACAGGCAGAAAGCAGTGTTTTAGCAAAAATGCTAAAACAGAAAGAAGAATAACTTTCAAGATTACTTTTTTAAGCAAATATAACTTGTAGTTTATACTTTTGTCATCCAAGTCTAGAAGTGATCACTTTCCACACTAGTAACAAAAGGCACTCTTGTCTTTAACGTTTACGCTTCTATTTTATTGAGGTAGCAAACTAGTTTAAACTCAAAATCTCTTTCTAAAAAACAAAAACAACCTGTTGGATACAACCCTCTCATAGCTTAACTGTAGATAAAACTCGGCAAAAAATGTAAATAACTCACGAAAGCTCTCATAGCTCAACTTTAGATAAAACTCTGCATTCTCCGGTGAACTCTGTTCACTCCAAAAACAAAAACTCCCTTTTTCTGTATGTAATTTAAACCGTGATCACTGAAATATTGTTGCTTATGTACTTTTGTCATTTATCAGCCTGAAATTCGTCAATTTCAAAGCTTTTGTAACAAGGCCTCTTTAACACATTTCCCTTTTTATTGCTTTTATTATTACACCATGGTTTCACTAAGGATCCTACACTTTATCTTTTCTCAAAGGGACTCTAACCCCGAAAACGTTTTCTCAAAGGGACTCTAACCCTGAAGCTTCTTCTCAAAGGGACTCTAACCCCGAGACTTCTTCTCAAAGGGACTCTAACCCCGAGACTTCTTCTCAAAGGGACTCTAACCCCGAGCTAGGACTCTCTTCTCAAAGGGACTCTAACCCCGAGACTTCTTCTCAAAGGGACTCTAACCCCGAGACTTCTTCTCAAAGGGACTCTAACCCCGAGACTTCTTCTCAAAGGGACTCTAACCCCGAGACTTCTTCTCAAATACAATTTAGAGAGTTTGACAGACCCCAAAAACAGACCAAAATTTAGCTAGTATCCAATTATACAGACTTTACATATAAAAAGGTGTCTGCTTACCTTATTCTTGTCAAACAGGTACCAAGGACTGTCCGAGAGGTCTGCCAACCTCTTTTCCGCGTCGGAATATTCAATTTAAAAAACAAAAGTGACAGAAGCGACAAGAAGCATCCAGGAACAGCTCTTCCAGCCTGCTGGAATCCCCGCTCCCAGACACAGCATGCCGGTCTCTCACGCAGAGGAAAAGAAACAAAGCAAACTCCCTCAAAACAATCCAGAGAATGGCACACACTGAGCCGCGCATTCTCCACCAAATCTGTTAGGATTTAGCAGACAGAGACGGATCGTGGTGTGCCAAACTCTGGAAGTTTATTTAAGTTTCTCTCAAGTTCCACTGGTTTACTCTGTTTCTTTCCCTCAGACAGAATAAAGGCAGTACACAGTTTATATAGTCATTGTCACGTCACACATCGAAAGACATACGTGTCACAAAGAGACAGTCACATCATAGTCATAACATGGAGTCCTTGTAGAGTCCTTGTAGAGTCCTGCACGTAGGCCATATTGCTATCTAATACTAACACTATAATCTGCAAAAAAACGTCTTGACCTTCATCTTTTACCGTTTTTAGAGCAATCTGTCATAGAATGTGATAACATGCAATAAATACAAAAAGACATAGCCCGGGATCGAACCCGGGTTTCTGCATCGTAAGCACACAGTTTAGACCACTAGACCACCGATTCACACAAATAGAGACACTGTGAAGACAAAGGCATCCCGATATAAATCATCGTTTTAGTCTTTGTTTTGTCATTAATGATTTGAGAGTCGTAACAAGACCTTTTTTAGTTCTGCGCCACATGTTATTTTACCACTGAGATTAATGAGCCGCGCGGAGTTCTGGCAACCCGATAACGGACTTACATGACACTTCCTGATTGGCGAAACGGCGGAGGGTATGTAATATGTTTCACGCAGCTGCGTGATTCATGAAAAGCGTGAGTGAAGACTACAAAACGAAATGGGACCTACTGTAGTACAATTTCATAATGTTGTTCCATAAACTATTCCCCCTATTGAGACATAACATGGCTCAATCCAGCAAACCTATCAATATCTAGTTTACATAATTAGTAAAGTACTCCAGAAAACTATCCCGTGTTGAGTGGAACAAGTCAACCTTTCCTCTCAGTTCAAATTTGATTTTCTCCAATTGAACATGTTTCATTATATCATGCAGTAGATGTACATAAGCTGGTGGCTGCTTTTGTTTCCAGTTCGTCAGTACAAGACGCCGAGCTAACAAAGTCACAAACTTAACAAACGTTTTCTTTCCGCTTGAGAGACTGGCAGAAACTGGGGTAACACCAAACATCGCCAGCACAGGGTCCGGGCACAGCCGTGTTTGACAGATCTTTGATAACAATTTAAATATTTGTGTCCAGAATGGTGCGATGTTTGGGCAACTCCAAAAGGTGTGAGAAAGTGATGCTTTGTCCTGACCGCAGCGGTCACAAGTCCAGTTGGTTTTGGGAAACATTTTAGACAATCGTGCTTTAGAAAGATGCAGTCTATGCAAGACCTTGAACTGCAGTAGGCCGTGTCGAGCACATACGGACGAGGAGTGGACATTCTCTTGTGCTTTTGACCATTGAGCGGCAGTGATGTTTTCCTCAGTCTTGTTGCCATGCCTCTCTCAGGTGTTCCAATGAAGGCATGTCCTCCAGTTTAGATAAATCTTTACAGATTTTTGAGATTGAACCCTTTTTTAGCGGATCTCGTAGTAGTAACATATTAAGATCATATTCAGGGGGCTGGTAGGGAAAGGATGGAAGGTTTGTTTTTGCAAAATTGCGGATTTGTAAATACTTAAAAAAGTCTGTTCTCATAATCTTGTATTTCATACAAAGTTGCTCAAATGTTGCAAATGTTCTCTGAATGAAAAGATCCTGCAATGACCCAATTCCCTTTTCCTCCCATTGATTAAAAGATAGCTCCGAACATGCTGGGGTAAACTCGTGATTATGAGTTATTGGAGCCAATAATGAAATCTCTTTCCACTTAAAATGTTTTCTGATTTGATACAGGATTTTTACAGAGTGAGAAACTACAGTACTTTTAAATTTTGGAAGCGTAGCCTTTAATGATGAATAAATTAGAGCTTGTAATGACACTGGCTCTATACTTTACAATGTCCAATTCCAAATTTTGAGTAATTTAAAGGTCTTTAAACATCCAATTTCAATGTAGCTTATTTAGATGTCTATAAATGTCCAATTTCAGTTTAGAAGTAATATAGAAGTTCAGTCTGAAGTAATTCAATTCTAACACATTCATTATACAGGCGTAACTCTGCGTTACCCTTTTGAATGAAACCCCGTTCATTCGAGCTCAGTAAAAGTCCTTGACTAAAGGCATAACTCTGCGTTTTCCTAAATGAATGTGTTCATGTGAACTTCACACTACTTCCTGGATTACTTTTGGACATAATTTAGTGTTTAGAACTTGCCTTTTGTTGCAATTTCATCAGGAAAAAAACTGTAGTTCTCCCGTCGACTCCAACCCAGGGCTGTCCTGCCTCAAACCTGGAGTTCCAATGCAGTTCCGAATGCAGAAGGCCTTGTTGTTGCTCCTGGAAGTCCATGTTTGAGACAAGCTCAGCTCCTGTAAGAAGTGTTGGGATCCGGCTCGAAGGACCAAGTGATAATGCTGTTTCAGCTACAGTTGAACCTGATGAAATCTCACACAACAAAGAGACAAAGTTAATCTTTTACTTGTTACATTGTACAAGGAGAATGTCTTGACAGAGGCAAGGCACAGACCCTAGCCTCTCTCTGGACAAGTCTGAAGATTCACAGTCTGCAAGCCCCTTTTGGTAGAGCAAGACACACCTTCGTATGCAGATGGGAAAGGAAGAAACCAACACAACAAAAGACACTTAGCATATGAGCTCCCCAGACCTCCCGGTGTCTTCCTGGAGCTAAAGTGAATTATAATACAGAGCATTCAGCACATAGCCACATATGATTTACCAAAATGATAACTTAAGTTACATTCCAATATCAGAGGTACTTCTTAAATGTTGGAAAAACACACCCACTATTGTTCTCCTCTGAACAGATGGAGAACGAGAAGTGAACCAGAAGGACGTCCGATCATTATTAAAGGCCACTTACTAAACCTACGCAACAGCAAAATATAGTTGTTTTTTGACACTTTCTTCAAATTATTCCCAATTATATCCATAGTTGTCTAATAATTTGCTAAAATTTAAATCTTCTTGCATTATTATTTTCATTCATTATGCATACAATTGGGAAGTAATGTATGGAATATGTAAATCATTGGAACATGCTAGTTTTGATGTCAACCAAAAATAGTGGAACACAAATTTCCACAAGATGTGGGTGTTTCCTGCATTAATGCCCAAATTCGAAGAATGAAGGCATCTGATTGGTCAGTTATCAGGGCTGCAATTAGAATATACAAATATGTTATTGATATCAAATAAAAATGGTGAATATGACACAAATGGTTACAATAAGTTTACTATTCAATGTAAATTAATGCAGTCAAATGGAATAGAAGCATAACTCCAGCCATGAGCGCTTTTTTCACTTTAGTCAACAGACCACCCACGGTATCACACAAATAATCATGGGGGAGGTAGCACTACTGCGCATGTGCATCTAGGCCTGGATCTTACCAAAATGCTTCTGGGCTATAGTTGTTAGCATTCAGGAGCTAATGGCTAACACAGTGAACACAGGCCATTGACTTGAAAAGAAACATCTTGGATTGATTGGGCTTCATAAAGCTAGCAGCTCAGCATTGCCCATCCTTTTCACAGTGCATGCTTTGCCCTCTAATACATCATTGTCATTTTTTACAGAAATGCATCTTGTCGCTGCTCCCATCGCCCTCATGGTGGCGCTGTGCTGGATGTCCGTCAGCACCTATGCGCAGGACAACACCACAATGGCACTGAGCTCGAGCAACACCACAATGGCACTGAGCTCGAGCAACACCACAATGGCACCGAGCTCGAGCAACACCACAATGGCACTGAGCTCGAGCAACACCACAATGGCACCGAGCTCGAGCAACGCCACAATGGCACCGAGCTCGAGCAACGCCACAATGTCACCGAGCTCGAGCAACGCCACAATGGCACCGAGCTCGAGCTACGCCACAATGGCACCGAGCTCGAGCAACGCCACAATGGCACCGAGCTCGAGCAACGCCACAATGGCACCGAGCTCGAACAACACCACAAGCAACACCACAATGGCACCGGGCTCGAGCAACACCACAAGCAACACCACAATGGCACCGGGCTCGAGCAACACCACAATGGCACCGAGCTCGAACAACACCACAAGCAACACCACAATGGCACCGAGCTCGAGCAACACCACAATGGCACCGAGCTCGAGCAACACCACAATGGCACCGAGCTCGAACAACACCACAAGCAACACCACAATGGCACCGAGCTCGAGCAACACCACAATGGCACCGAGCTCGAGCAACACCACAATGGCACCGAGCTCGAGCAACACCACAATGGCACCGAGCTCGAGCAACACCACAATGGCACCGAGCTCGAGCAACACCACAATGGCACCGAGCTCGAGCAACACCACAATGGCACCGAGCTCGAGCAACACCACAATGGCACCGAGCTCGAACAACACCACAATGGCACCGAGCATGACAACGACCCCTGCCCCATTTACTATCAACACGACAGTCACTACACTTACAGTAAGACACAATTTCAATGTCCTCAGAGTTTTTGTACTCACTAGCCCTTGAGTAAGTTAAAAATGTGGAGCACAGATTTCTTTCTTTTTTTTAAAGGAGATGTCACATTGTCTCTTTTGAGCTTGTGTTACGGTTCCCTCATCAAAAACAGGTCTGGAATTCGCTAAAATCAGGAAAATCTGGCCAGAGAACTAGATTCTGTGTTTGCTGTAGGCAAGGTTTGAATTTGAAAGAAAACAAAAAGAAATTCAAAAACTCCCTCTGGTGGTATAAGATTGAATTACAAGAGGAACACATTTTACTCTAACTTGTGCATGTTTAACAAAAGACAGTATTCTCTAAATGATTTTACTTTCTGACATGAAATTCTACTCTACTACCATGTTTCAGGCCCCCCAGACTAGGGAAGATCAAAGAGAATGTAAACGTCACATCATTTCCTGTGACGTTTACATTCACGATTGCAACAGCAGTTGTCACAAAAACGTTGCAAAGATAAAACCGTAAAACAAGGTCCAAATCGTTGGTAGAAAAAAGCAGTGGGAATAAGGGAAACATGGGAAAAAGTGTAAAGTTTAGTATACAGTAGATCTGTGTTCATTTTTCTTGTGCTGTGTGCTCATTCCCACTGGTCTGTAACTTGTAATGCAACACTGAAATTTCCCCACTGTGGGACATCTCTCAAGGATCTCCTAATCTTAATCTCAGACCCCCAAACTAAAGAAATCAATGGAATTTATGAGTAGTAACATTTTATTGAGAAGAAGATCTTGATGTGTTTTTCATTTGTGTTCCAGAGCAACTTGACCACTTCTGGCTGTGGAACAGAGCGTCTGTGTGCGGCTGAGCCCAGCGGCTGTGACCCTGCGTCTGGATCCTGCTTTCACACCAGCGTGAAGAGAATTGGTGGTTTCAACCACAACTTTGGGTTGGCCGGAGAAAGTGACGGTTACTTGGCCTGTGCTCTGGGGCCACCAAATGTAAGTCCAAGTTCATTAAAAAATAAAAGAGTATTTAGAGTCTAGGTCGAGCTCAAACTGGAGAAATGTAGAACTATAATATCAGATGGTGTCTTTGTAACTCTCTGAAACTTGTGATCCACAAGTGTAATTTCATCATTATTCATTGTGTATTGTTTCCTTAAACTTAATCTTATGGCAACATTGCAACGCATCTGTTTGAGTTCATAATTTGTTGTGTTTGCAGGGAGGAACGCAGACGGTGTATGTGTGTGTTAACAGAAATGGCATAGTTACTTTCCGCAGCGTTTCACTCGCAAATGGAGTTTTTACAAATATCAAGGTGAGTGAGTGTTTGCAATTCAACTAAATCAGAGAGTGTATTAATTAATTTTGGCAAATCAATAATTCTTGGTAAGCAGTCATTTTTTATTGTACTTATGACAATTACCTGTACAGAATGCATGTATATAACATACTCAATGTTTTGTGTGTATTGGAGCCACCAAAACATTGTAATTCATTGTGAATCACCTTTCTCACTCAACTGACCTTTTTCTCTTCAGACACCGGTGACAAACGTGAAAGCCAAGGTGACCGGCAGAAGGATCCAGTGTGAATTTTCAGCCACAATCCCCAATGCAACATCAACAAACAGAGCAGCAGACTCTACGTACACACTGGGCGTGCTGACTGGATCTGTTGCGGGTGAGTCAGAAAGAATCCCGCCACAAAGCTCAATAAAGTCAAAGATTTGACGCGACATCAGAAAATGTTTCTTCCATTATTATGAAACCGTGGACCATGGCACATGCTGTCTGTACACCATTCACACTGTTCTGTGATGGATGACAATGGTTGAAATCAATACATATTAACATTTTGTGTGGCTCCCACCGACAATAAATACATCTTTCACATTGCAGCCGATGGAACTCTGGGTACACCTACTACACATGTGAGGACAGCCCCAGTGGATCTCACCAACCCACCGGCCGCCACCACAATGGCACCGAGCTCGAACAACACCACAATGGCACCGAGCTCGAGCAACACCACGATGGCACCGAGCTCGAACAACACCACGATGGCACCGAGCTCGAGCAACACCACGATGGCACCGAGCTCGAACAACACCACAATGGCACCGAGCTCGAACAACACCACGATGGCACCGAGCTCGAACAACACCACGATGGCACCGAGCTCGAACAACACCACAATGGCACCGAGCTCGAACACCACCACAATGGCACCGAGCTCGAGCAACACCACAATGGCACCGAGCTCGAACAACACCACAATGGCACAGAGCTCGAACAACACCACAATGGCACAGAGCTCGAACAACACCACAATGGCACCGAGCTCGAACAATGCCACAATGGCACCGAGCACGAGCAATGCCACAATGGCACCGAGCATGACTTCAATGATGAATGTGACGTCCAACTCCTCCACCATGGCCCCTACCATGACAACGACCCCTGCCCCATTTACTATCAACACGACAGTCACTACACTTACAGTAAGACACAATTTCAATGTCCTCAGAGTTTTTGTACTCACTAGCCCTTGAGTAAGTTAAAAATGTGGAGCACAGATTTCTTTCTTTTTTTTAAAGGAGATATCATATGTCACATTGTCTCTTTTGAGCTTGTGTTACGGTTCCCTCATCAAAAACAGGCCTGGAATTCGCTAAAATCAGGAAAATCTGGCCAGAGAACTAGAGTCTGTGTTTGCTGTAGGCAAGGTTTGAATTTGAAAGAAATTCAAATACTCCCTCTGGTGGTATAAGATTGAATTACACGAGGAACACATTTTGCTCTAACTTATGCATGTTTAACAAAAGACAGTATTCTCTAAATGATTTTACTTTCTGACATGAAATTCTTCTCCACTACTATGTTTCAGGCCTCCCAGACTAGGGCAGATCAGAGAGAATGTAAACGTCACATCATTTCCTGTGACGTTTACATTCACGATTGCAACAGCAGTTGTCACAAAAACGTTGCAAAGATAAAACCGTAAAACAAGGTCCAAATCGTTGGTAGAAAAAAGCAGTGGGAATAAGGGAAACATGGGAAAAAGTGTAAAGTTTAGTATACAGTAGATCTGTGTTCATTTTTCTTGTGCTGTGTGCTCATTCCCACTGGTCTGTAACTTGTAATGCAACACTGAAATTTCCCCACTGTGGGACATCTCTCAAGGATCTCCTAATCTTAATCTCAGACCCCCAAACTAAAGCAATCAATGGAATTTATGAGTAGTAAAATTTCATTGAGAAGATCTTGATGTGTTTTTCATTTGTGTTCCAGAGCAACTTGACCACTTCTGGCTGTGGAACAGAGCGTCTGTGTGCGGCTGAGCCCAGCGGCTGTGACCCTGCGTCTGGATCCTGCTTTCACACCAGCGTGAAGAGAATTGGTGGTTTCAACCACAACTTTGGGTTGGCCGGAGAAAGTGACGGTTACTTGGCCTGTGCTCTGGGGCCACCAAATGTAAGTCCAAGTTCATTAAAAAATAAGAGTATTTAGAGTCTAGGTTGAGCTCAAACTGGAGAAATGTAGAACTATAATATCAGATGGTGTCTTTGTAACTCTCTGAAACTTGTGATCCACAAGTGTAATTTCATCATTATTCATTGTGTATTGTTTCCTTAAACGTAATCTTATGGCAACATTGCAACGCATCTGTTTGAGTTCATAATTTGTTGTGTTTGCAGGGAGGAACGCAGACGGTGTATGTGTGTGTTAACAGAAATGGCATAGTTACTTTCCGCAGCGTTTCACTCGCAAATGGAGTTTTTACAAATATCAAGGTGAGTGAGTGTTTGCAATTCAACTAAATCAGAGAGTGTATTCATTAATTTTGCCAAATCAATAATTCTTGTTAAGCAGTCATTTTTTATTGTACTTATGACAATTACCTGTACAGAATGCATGTATATAACATACTCAATGTTTTGTGTGTATTGGAGCCACCAAAACATTGTAATTCATTGTGAATCACCTTTCTCACTCAACTGACCTTTTTCTCTTCAGACACCGGTGACAAACGTGAAAGCCAAGGTGACCGGCAGAAGGATCCAGTGTGAATTTTCAGCCACAATCCCCAATGCAACATCAACAAACAGAGCAGCAGACTCTACGTACACACTGGGCGTGCTGACTGGATCTGTTGCGGGTGAGTCAGAAAGAATCCCGCCACAAAGCTCAATAAAGTCAAAGATTTGACGCGACATCAGAAAATGTTTCTTCCATTATTATGAAACCGTGGACCATGGCACATGCTGTCTGTCCACCATTCACACTGTTCTGTGATGGATGACAATGGTTGAAATCAATACATATTAACATTTTGTGTGGCTCCCACCGACAATAAATACATCTTTCACATTGCAGCCGATGGAACTCTGGGTACACCTACTACACATGTGAGGACAGCCCCAGTGGATCTCACCAACCCACCGGCCGCCACCACAATGGCACCGAGCTCGAACAACACCACAATGGCACCGAGCTCGAGCAACACCACGATGGCACCGAGCTCGAACAACACCACGATGGCACCGAGCTCGAGCAACACCACGATGGCACCGAGCTCGAACAACACCACAATGGCACCGAGCTCGAACAACACCACGATGGCACCGAGCTCGAACAACACCACGATGGCACCGAGCTCGAACAACACCACAATGGCACCGAGCTCGAACACCACCACAATGGCACCGAGCTCGAGCACCACCACAATGGCACCGAGCTCGAACACCACCACAATGGCACAGAGCTCGAACAACACCACAATGGCACAGAGCTCGAACACCACCACAATGGCACCGAGCTCGAACACCACCACAATGGCACCGAGCTCGAGCACCACCACAATGGCACCGAGCTCGAACACCACCACAATGGCACCGAGCTCGAACACCACCACAATGGCACAGAGCACGAGCAACGCCACAATGGCACCGAGCATGACTTCAATGATGAATGTGACGTCCAACTCCTCCACCATGGCCCCTACCATGACAACGACCCCTGCCCCATTTACTATCAACACGACAGTCACTACACTTACAGTAAGACACAATTTCAATGTCCTCAGAGTTTTTGTACTCACTAGCCCTTGAGTAAGTTAAAAATGTGGAGCACAGATTTCTTTCTTTTTTTTAAAGGAGATATCATATGTCACATTGTCTCTTTTGAGCTTGTGTTACGGTTCCCTCATCAAAAACAGGCCTGGAATTCGCTAAAATCAGGAAAATCTGGCCAGAGAACTAGAGTCTGTGTTTGCTGTAGGCAAGGTTTGAATTTGAAAGAAATTCAAATACTCCCTCTGGTGGTATAAGATTGAATTACACAAGGAACACATTTTACTCTAACTTATGCATGTTTAACAAAAGACAGTATTCTCTAAATGATTTTACTTTCTGACATGAAATTCTTCTCCACTACTATGTTTCAGGCCTCCCAGACTAGGGCAGATCAGAGAGAATGTAAACGTCACATCATTTCCTGTGACGTTTACATTCACGATTGCAACAGCAGTTGTCACAAAAACGTTGCAAAGATAAAACCGTAAAACAAGGTCCAAATCGTTGGTAGAAAAAAGCAGTGGGAATAAGGGAAACATGGGAAAAAGTGTAAAGTTTAGTATACAGTAGATCTGTGTTCATTTTTCTTGTGCTGTGTGCTCATTCCCACTGGTCTGTAACTTGTAATGCAACACTGAAATTTCCCCAATGTGGGACATCTCTCAAGGATCTCCTAATCTTAATCTCAGACCCCCAAACTAAAGCAATCAATGGAATTTATGAGTAGTAAAATTTCATTGAGAAGATCTTGATGTGTTTTTCATTTGTGTTCCAGAGCAACTTGACCACTTCTGGCTGTGGAACAGAGCGTCTGTGTGCGGCTGAGCCCAGCGGCTGTGACCCTGCGTCTGGATCCTGCTTTCACACCAGCGTGAAGAGAATTGGTGGTTTCAACCACAACTTTGGGTTGGCCGGAGAAAGTGACGGTTACTTGGCCTGTGCTCTGGGGCCACCAAATGTAAGTCCAAGTTCATTAAAAAATAAGAGTATTTAGAGTCTAGGTCGAGCTCAAACTGGAGAAATGTAGAACTATAATATCAGATGGTGTCTTTGTAACTCTCTGAAACTTGTGATCCACAAGTGTAATTTCATCATTATTCATTGTGTATTGTTTCCTTAAACGTAATCGTATGGCAACATTGCAACGCATCTGTTTGAGTTCATAATTATTTGTGTTTGCAGGGAGGAACGCAGACGGTGTATGTGTGTGTTAACAGAAATGGCATAGTTACTTTCCGCAGCGTTTCACTCGCAAATGGAGTTTTTACAAATATCAAGGTGAGTGAGTGTTTGCAATTCAACTAAATCAGAGAGTGTATTCATTAATTTTGCCAAATCAATAATTCTTGTTAAGCAGTCATTTTTTATTGTACTTATGACAATTACCTGTACAGAATGCATGTATATAACATACTCAATGTTTTGTGTGTATTGGAGCCACCAAAACATTGTAATTCATTGTGAATCACCTTTCTCACTCAACTGACCTTTTTCTCTTCAGACACCGGTGACAAACGTGAAAGCCAAGGTGACCGGCAGAAGGATCCAGTGTGAATTTTCAGCCACAATCCCCAATGCAACATCAACAAACAGAGCAGCAGACTCTACGTACACACTGAGCGTGCTGACTGGATCTGTTGCGGGTGAGTCAGAAAGAATCCCGCCACAAAGCTCAATAAAGTCAAAGATTTGACGCGACATCAGAAAATGTTTCTTCCATTATTATGAAACCGTGGACCATGGCACATGCTGTCTGTCCACCATTCACACTGTTCTGTGATGGATGACAATGGTTGAAATCAATACATATTAACATTTTGTGTGGCTCCCACCGACAATAAATACATCTTTCACATTGCAGCCGATGGAACTCTGGGTACGCCTACTACACATGTGAGGACAGCCCCAGTGGATCTCACCAACCCACCGGCCGCCGCCACAATGGCACCGAGCTCGAACAACACCACAATGGCACCGAGCTCGAACAACACCACAATGGCACCGAGCTCGAGCAACACCACAATGGCACCGAGCTCGAACAACACCACAATGGCACCGAGCTCGAACAACACCACAATGGCACCGAGCTCGAACAACACCACAATGGCACAGAGCTCAAACAACACCACAATGGCACCGAGCTCGAACAACGCCACAATGGCACCGAGCTCAAACAACGCCACAATGGCACCGAGCTCGAGCAACACCACAATGGCACCGAGCTCGAGTAACACCACAATGGCACCGAGCTCGAACAACACCACAATGGCACCGAGCATGACAACGACCCCTGCCCCATTTACTATCAACACGACAGTCACTACACTTACAGTAAGACACAATTTCAATGTCCTCAGAGTTTTTGTACTCACTAGCCCTTGAGTAAGTTAAAAATGTGGAGCACAGATTTCTTTCTTTTTTTTAAAGGAGATATCATTTGTCACATTGTCTCTTTTGGGCTTGTGTTACGGTTCCCTCATCAAAAACAGGCCTGGAATTCGCTAAAATCAGGAAAATCTGGCCAGAGAACTAGAGTCTGTGTTTGCTGTAGGCAAGGTTTGAATTTGAAAGAAATTCAAAAACTCCCTCTGGTGGTATAAGATTGAATTACACGAGGAACACATTTTACTCTAACTTATGCATGTTTAACAAAAGACAGTATTCTCTAAATGATTTTACTTTCTGACATGAAATTCTACTCCACTACCATGTTTCAGGCCCCCCAGACTAGGGCAGATCAAAGAGAATGTAAACGTCACATCATTTCCTGTGACGTTTACATTCTCGATTGCAACAGCAGTTGTCACAAAAACGTTGCAAAGATAAAACCGTAAAACAAGGTCCAAATCGTTGGTAGAAAAAAGCAGTGGGAATAAGGGAAACATGGGAAAAAGTGTAAAGTTTAGTATACAGTAGATCTGTGTTCATTTTTCTTGTGCTGTGTGCTCATTCCCACTGGTCTGTAACTTGTAATGCAACACTGAAATTTCCCCACTGTGGGACATCTCTCAAGGATCTCCTAATCTTAATCTCAGACCCCCAAACTAAAGCAATCAATGGAATGTATGAGTAGTAACATTTTATTGAGAAGAAGATCTTAACAATGTGTTTTTCATTTGTGTTCCAGAGCAACTTGACCACTTCTGGCTGTGGAACAGAGCGTCTGTGTGCGGCTGAGCCCAGCGGCTGTGACCCTGCGTCTGGATCCTGCTTTCACACCAGCGTGAAGAGAATTGGTGGTTTCAACCACAACTTTGGGTTGGCCGGAGAAAGTGACGGTTACTTGGCCTGTGCTCTGGGGCCACCAAATGTAAGTCCAAGTTCATTAAAAAATAAAAGAGTATTTAGAGTCTAGGTCGAGCCCAAACTGGAGAAATGTAGAACTATAATATCAGATGGTGTCTTTGTAACTCTCTGAAACTTGTGATCCACAAGTGTAATTTCATCATTATTCATTGTGTATTGTTTCCTTAAACGTAATCTTATGGCAACATTGCAACGCATCTGTTTGAGTTCATAATTTGTTGTGTTTGCAGGGAGGAACGCAGACGGTGTATGTGTGTGTTAACAGAAATGGCATAGTTACTTTCCGCAGCGTTTCACTCGCAAATGGAGTTTTTACAAATATCCAGGTGAGTGAGTGTTTGCAATTCAACTAAATCAGAGAGTGTATTAATTAATTTTGCCAAATCAATAATTCTTGTTAAGCAGTCATTTTTTATTGTACTTATGACAATTACCTGTACAGAATGCATGTATATAACATACTCAATGTTTTGTGTGTATTGGAGCCACCAAAACATTGTAATTCATTGTGAATCACCTTTCTCACTCAACTGACCTTTTTCTCTTCAGACACCGGTGACAAACGTGAAAGCCAAGGTGACCGGCAGAAGGATCCAGTGTGAATTTTCAGCCACAATCCCCAATGCAACATCAACAAACAGAGCAGCAGACTCTACGTACACACTGAGCGTGCTGACTGGATCTGTTGCGGGTGAGTCAGAAAGAATCCCGCCACAAAGCTCAATAAAGTCAAAGATTTGACGCGACATCAGAAAATGTTTCTTCCATTATTATGAAACCGTGGACCATGGCACATGCTGTCTGTCCACCATTCACACTGTTCTGTTGAAGGGTTAAGGATGGATGACAATGGTTGAAATCAATAATATTAACATTTTGTGTGGCTCCCACCGACAATACATCTTTCACATTGCAGCCGATGGAACTCTGGGTACACCTACTACACATGTGAGGACAGCCCCAGTGGATCTCACCAATATTGGAGGTGTGGGGGTGTGATGAATTTTGTGAAAGTAAGTAATGATAAGTGAATGAAAAAGAAATTGATGGGATATATGAAAGGGTGAGGTTTGTGTTTTATTGTGAGGAATGGTTATAAAAGAGTATATTGAAGGAAATGGTGTTTTATTGTATTGATTTTGTTGATATAAATTGATTGGTTTGTTGGGATGATATGTGAGGTGTTTGTGAGGTGAAATAAAATAGTTTATTTAAGATGTAAGTGGTAATAGTAAGAATGAAATTATGGATAAATATTATGTAATAATGATGTTGTAATGGTGGGGAATTTGGTGAATTGGGGGTTGAATTTGGGTTAATATTGAGGTAATTGATATTGTGTCGGTTGGGGGGGGTAATTGGATAGAGATGAGAAATGAAGGTAGGTGTATGGGGAGGTGAAGATTGGAATTTGGGGATGGGAATGTGATGGAGAGGGGTGGGGGGGGAGAAAGGTGGGGATTTTTTTTTTTTTTAAAGGGGGGGGGGTTTTATTTTTTTGAGAGGGAGAGTTGGGGAATGTATGGGAAAGGATGGAGTGAATAATAAGGTTGTTGGTATGAGTGAGAGGATGTTTGGATGTAATTGTAATGGGGGTTTGGGAGGTGGGGGGTTATATATATTATATGATATTGTATTGTTTGATTGGTGTTTGTTATTATGATGGGTGTAAGAATTGATATGAGGAATATGGGGGGGAGGGTAGAAGGATTGTTATATTATTTTTGTAGGAGGAGGATATTGGTGTGTTTTGTGGGTTTAGGGTTTATTTTGGAGGATTTGGGTGTTTGAAGATATTTATGTAGGAGTATTTTAAACTAAGCAAACCCAAGCGAAATTTGGGCCCATGATTTGAAAAGAAGGATACGGTTGGCTGACTAAAAATTTTGCAGGGTATTGATTTGCAAATTTAGGTAATGAACTTATATATAGGCAGGGGAATGGGGTGATTTGGTGTTTAGTGAGGGGGAGGGAGAAGATAGAAGTACTAATAGAGCCACTGATACTTGTGGAAATTGAAGAAGTATGCCTTTGCAGTGATGTGTTCCCCCCCACAACCAACTCCGGAGAATGCACAGTAGATTTTTAGTAATCAGTTGTTGTGCATTTTATACAGAAATATGAGTGCAAAACGCAAAAACCTCATGGATAAAGGTGATATAAAAGTCAACGTCAAAAATGGGAACGTAATGGATATATGTAAGGTATGTGGAGGGTAGTAAGCTGGAATGTCAAAAAATGTTGTATGTATAAATCAGGAAATAGTTTAGTCAATGTGGTTCCATTGTGAATGTAGTTTAGTGAGATATTTTTGGATGTTAGGTAGGACAGAATTGAATACAGTTTCTAAAAGTTAATTAAATTTCTGGGTATGGTCATTGAAATAGTTAATTCAATTATTTAATCCATTTCTTAGGGTCTCATAGCAACGCAACAATAAAGGACAATATGGAAGGGAGGGGGGATGGGACTAAGAGACGGACGGAGCGTATGAGGGTGAAAGAATACTTGAATATTTAAGTGGGGGATTTGGAAAAGGGGGGGGATGTGGTATTGACAATTGGTATAATAGTAAATGAGGACATATGTGGGAGTAGTGGAGAAGGGGAAGAGGTGGATTGGATAAAATAGAAATGAGGGAGGTAGGAAATTGGATATACAAAAGGTATAATGTAGGTATGTCAATTTGGGAATGATTGTGGAGGAAGGGGGGATTTTTAGAGAGAAGTGGGGATAATATTATAGATATAATTATGTTGGTAAGGTGTTAAAAAAGAAAATTATATGTGTAAAGTGTGGAATATTATGAGGATGATGGGAGAGTGGGGGTTATGTGGTATAAGGAGTTTGGTATGGTTATGTGTAGGGATGTATTGGAGAGGGGGTGTTATATGATAGGGGGATGAGGGGGTAAGGTTGAATTTTTTAAAGATATAGTAGGAATTGGGGAGATAAGGTATTTCGTATGATATTGTGGATGAGATGGGGGGAAGATATGTATTTAGGGGGGGGGGGGTTAGAGTATTTTTATTTGAAGGTTGGATTGATGTTGGATGTATTGTAGGGTGAGGGGGTATGAAGTAATGGTGTGAAAGTTAAAGTATTGGGGGGGGGGGGTGGGGGTGTATGGGGGATAGGTATTAATTTTGGATGAGGTTTGGTGTGGTAGTTGGTATTGTATGGGTGTGTGTAGGGTGGGTGTGGGGGGGGATAAATGGAGGTTGGTTAGGGTTGATTTGTGAGGGTGTTAGGTATTTTATAGGGGTGTGATTATTGGTGGTTTGTGTTTAGATGATGATGATTGGGGATGTTGAATGTAGGGTAAGGGGGGGGTAGTGATTTAGGAATTGATATTGGGATTAAGGGGGATGAGAGGTGGGGGGTGGGAAGAATAATGAGGAAGAGAGGGTGTTGTATAGGGATGGAGTGGGGTAGGGGGATGGGAGGGAGGGAGAGTAAATGAGTATTGTTTTATGTGGAGGAGGGAGGGTTGGGTTGTATTATGAATTAGGGGAAGATGAAGAGGATGGGGGGGGTTGGTGAGGAAGGGAGTTATGAGTTTTATTTGTAGGGGGGGGTATATTTTTGGGGTGGGGGGGGGTTATTTTATGTTTTAAGATTGTGTTTGGATGAGGGGTGATGATATGGGTATTGAGGGGATATAAAGTGGAATGATGGGAGGGGGTAGGGAGTATTGGTATTATAATGAGGGGAAGAGGGATGTGTATTAATGGGGGTTATTGGTGTATAATTGGGGGGTATGGTGGGGGGGGGTTATTGAGGGTGGGAGGGGTTGGTATGTTGGGGTAGGGTTGGGGGGGTGGGAGTTGAGTATAGGGGGTTGAGGTTTAGGGGTGGTTTGTATAGGATATTTGTTATAGAGTGGGAGAGTATATTTGTAGGAAGGTTGTTTGATTATATGTTGGGGTGTGTAGGGGGGATTTGATTGTGAGGGTTAATAATGAATAGGTGGGGGTTGGGGTTGGTAGGGTTGTGGGGTATTGGGTGTTTGTGAGGTTATGGGGGGGTGTGGGGGGGGTTGTAATGGGGGGTGGGGGGGGTGGGGGGGTTGTGGGGTGGTGGTTGGGTGTGGTAGGGGGTTAGTGGAAGTGGGGGGATATATTATTATTAATAGGTTGGGGGGTGGGGGTAATTTGGGGGGGGTTGGGTTGGGATGTATAGGGGTTGATTAGGGGTTTGTTTAGATGATGGAGTGATTGATTTAATGGTAGGGGGAAAAAAGGGGGGGGGAGTGAGGGGTTGAATTAGATGGGGATATATATATAAAAGGTGGATGAGTAGGAGTGGGGGGTGGAAATTGGGGGAAGAAAGAGGTTTGTATAGGTGATGGAGTGGGTGAGGGTGAGGGGGGGGGAGGGGGGAGATTGAATAAATGAAATTGTTTTATGGAAAGGAGGGGAGGTTGTTTGTAGATGAAATGTAGGGGATTGGAGGATGGTGGATTTGGGGATGTTTGTGGGTTTTATGGATGATGTATGTATGATGTATATATATATTGGTATTGTTTGGGGGGTGGGGTAGAAGATAGTTTGTATTGTGGGGTTAGGTAGGGTTGGATAGGGTATGGGGGGTGTGGAGATAATTGTGAGGTGGGGGGGGGAGGGGTTTTTTATGTGTTTTTGGGTATATTGTTTTATGTAGTGGATGGGAAGGGGGGGATGTAGATAGGGGAATTAGGTGTTGGGGTAGGTATATGGTATTGGTATGGGTATGTTGTAGGAGGGGTGTTGTTTAGGGGATGTGGGAGTTGGGGTTGGATAGGTGATTGGGTGAAATAATGGGTTGGATGGGGGGTTAGTTGGGGAGGGTTTTTATAATTATGGGGGGTGGTTGGTGTAAAGGTGTATTGGGGGTTGTTTATGTTGGAGGGTGTTTTTATGGGTTTTTTTATATGGAATTTATTTGAATATAATGGATGTTGTTATTGGTTTGGGGGTTGGTAGAGGGGGTGGGATAAGGGGGGGGGTGATATTTGGGTTTGTGGTTTTTGTGGGGTAGGGGGATAATTTGTTTAAATATTTTAGATGGTTTGTGGATTTTTGATTTTGGTGGTGGAGGAATTGTGGATAGGGTGGGGTGGGGGTAGAAGAGGAGGGGAGAGGGGGTGTTGGTAGGTTTAGTGTGTGGTTGTTATGGGGAATGGGGTGGTGGATTGATTTGATAGATGGGAGTTTGTGAATTTTATTAAAATTGGGATGGGGGTTATTTTTTAGGTGGTTTCGGTTTTATATTTGTTTTATTTGGTAAGGAATAGAGTGGGGAGTGGAGGAGGGGGAGAGAGGGGAGGGGAATTGGGGAGTGGTGAAGAGGGAGAAAAGGGAGGGGGGGAGGGAGGAGTTTTGGGTTTTGGTTTGGGTTTGGGGAGGAGGGGGTGAGGGAGGGGGGAGGTGGGGAAGGAGGGGGGAGGGGAGGAGGGAGTGGGGAAGAGAGAGTAAATTAAATTTTTTTTTTTTTTTTTTTTTTTTTTTGGAGGATAGTAGGATGTGGGGAGGGGATATATAGGAGAAAGGGAATTGGGAGTGGGTTGTAGGTAGGGAGGGGGTTGATTTTCTTGTGTTTTTTTTTTTTTTATATATTGTGGGTTAGGTGTAATAGTGGGGTTGGGGATAGTTGGGGGGATGGTATGTTGTATTGGTGGGTGTGTTGTTGGGGGTGTTTTTTATTGGGGGGGATTTTTTGTAATGAGGTAAGTGGGGTAGGGGTAGAGTTAGGGAATAGTATGAATAGGGGGAATGAGGATGATATGTGTAAGGTGGGATTGGGTTGGTGTTTGTGGTTAATGGTGTATTTTGTGGTGTGGGGGGGAGGTGGTGAAGTAGGGGTTTTTGATGGATGTTATTATATGTTGTTTGGATGATGATTAGGGGGAGGGTTATATATTGGAATGGGGTATATGGGAAGGGGGGGTATTTGGTTGGTTGTTGGTTTTGAGTGTTAGGGTTTGGTTGGGGATATATTGATTAATTTTGTGGGGATTAATTTTGGAAGATATTTAATGGGGGGGGAGAATGGAAATGAGGTTTGGGGGTTAATGGAAGTTATGTGTGAGAGGGGAGTGTAGTGGGGGGGATAATGGGGGGTGTAAGTAGGAGTTGAGGAGGGGATGGGGGTAGTTTGATGTTAAGAATAAGGGGGATGTTTGGTTGTGGGGATAGATAGGAGTGGAAAGTTTTGATTGTTTAGTTTATTTTTTTGGGGTAGTAGGGGTAGGGAGTGGAATGTGATGGTGGAAGGAAGAAGTTGAGGGTGAAAGGGGAATTTGGGGGGGGGGGAAAAAGAAAGGGGGAAATGGGGGGTTTGGGGGAGGGAGAGGGGATGGAGGGGGGGGGAGGGTGAATTTTGGTGAATTATTTTTGGGGTTTGAATTATAGTATGGTGTATTATGGTGGGGGTATGGGGGAGGAGGGGGGAGTGGTGTGGGGGATGGGGGTGGGTTTGTGGGTGGAAGGTAAGGGGGGGTGGGAATTGGGGGGGGTTGAAGAGGTTGTAGGAGGGTAAGTGAGTGTATTGTGTTTGGGGTGGGGGGTTGGGGTGGGTGGGGTTTTGGATTTGGGTTAGGGTTGGGGATTGAATTATGAGGGGGGGTTGTTGGGGGTTATGGGGGGAGAAGTGGGTTTAAGTGGGGGAATTGATGGGGGGGGGGAGAAGGGTGTATATAAATTAGGGGATTGGATTATTATGAAGGGATTGGTTATGGGGAGGGAGTGTGGTAAGTGGTGTGGGGGAGGGGGGGGTTTGAGATATATGTGGAATTTTGGGGGGAGGGGGTGGATGGGGTGAGGAGAAGGGGAAGAGGGGGGTGGATAGGGGGGGGGGTGTGGTGATGGGTGTGTGTGATGTGGGGTAGAGGGGTTGGGGAGTGGGGGGTTTGAGTAGTGGGGGGTTAGTGGTATTGTGATGATGGGGTAGGGGTATGAGGGTATTAGGGGGGGGGGGTGGTGGGGGTGGTGTGTGTGGTGTGGGGGGGGGAGGTTTTTTGAGGGTTGGGGGAGGGTATGGTGAAGGTAGGGAAGGTTGATGGGTGGAAGGTTGTTTGAGTTTGGTTTTTGTAAGGGGGGAGGAGGTTTTGGAGGTGGTGGGTTGGGGTGTGTGTATTAGGGATGGGAAATGAGGGGGGGTATTGGGGTTGGAGATTTTTGATGGGATTTGATGTGGGATTGGAGTATGTTGAAGAGTGGTGGGGGTGTGGTTGGTTAGGGGGGAAAAGGATGATTTATATTGTTTTGTGTTATTTTAGTATGTGGAGAATTGGGGGGTTGGGGGGGTTGATTTATGTGGGTAATTGGATTAGTTTTTTGGGTATGTATGGGTGATGGGTGGGGAGGGGGGAAGGTTGTTTGGGAATTTGTATTATTGGGGGGGGGGAGTAAAGAAGGGTGGGGATGTTGAAAGAGGTGGGGGGGTTTAATTTGTTGGGGTTAATTTGATATTTATGGGGTTATTTTATTTTAAGGGGGATAGGGTTAAGGGGGATGATGTAGGGGATTTATGGTGATGGATGGGGATGGGTGTGGTTGTTGTTGTAAGATGTTGTAAGGGAGGGGTAATAGTTGTTGTGGGTTTGTTATTGAGGTTTTTGGTGATTTTTTTTTTATGGGAGAGGATTGGATGGTTTGTTGGTATGGTGGAGATGGAGGAAGTTGTTGAGGGGTTTGTGGTATTGTGGGGTTGTTTTGGGGTGGTGGTTGGGGGGGGTGTTGTGTGGGTTGGGGGGGTTTGTGTATTGTGGTGGTATTTGGAGTAGGGTGGTGGTTATAAGGAGTGGTTTGTGTTATTTGGGGTTGTTGAGGGTGTTGGTGTTTTGGTATATTGGTAGATTGGGGGGAATGGGTGTTTATTTTTGATGGGGGGAGATGTGGGATAAGGGATATGAATGTGGGATTTGAGGAAGGGGGGGGGGTTTAATAATTGAATTTGGGGGAGTGGGGGTGGGGGGTGGTGTGTTGGGTGGGGGGGAAGGTATGTATGGATTTGTGGTTGGGATTTTGAATGGAGGGGGGGTGTGGGGGGTAGGGTGGTTTGGGGTGTAGTGGGGGTAGTGGTATGTTTTTGGGGTTTAGGGGGGGGGGGTATTTTTGTTTTGGGGTTGTTTGGGGGTATGATTTTGGGTATTTTTTGTGATAAAAATATGAAGGTTAAGTGTATGATGGTGGGGGGTGAATGAGGGATGGGGGGGGGTGAATTGATTAAGTAATAATTGGGGGGTTGAGTTGTGGTTTGTGATTAATGATTAGGGGGGGAATTTGTGGAGTGGGGAAGTGGATGGTGGAATTGGGGTTGGGGTTAAGATGGGAGGGGGGGTGGGGTATGGGGGGGATAAGGGGGGGGGGAGGAGAGGAGGTAAGATGAGGAGGATTTGGGTATATGGAGGGGGATGTGTGGGAGTGAGGGTGTAATTGTGTGGGGGGGATTATTGGGGGGTGTGGTGGGGTGGGTAGTTAGAGGAATTTAGTTGGGGATTGGAATTGGGGGAAGGAGATAGGTGGGGGATGGGGATTTAGGAGGGTTTATTGTGTGGGTGGGTTTGGGGATGGTGTGATTGGGGTATGTGTAGATTTTATAGAGGGTATAGTTATTAATGGGGAAAGGGATTTGGGATAGGTATGGGTTTGTGAGGGAGTATGATGGTGTGAGGGGGGGGGGGGTTAGATATTGTGTGGTTTGGGAATAGGAAGTTTGAGTGGGTGGAGGAATGGGGGTGGGGGAGTGTTTGGGGGGGGGTTTGTGGTGTTGGGGGGGTAAGATGTGTGGGAAGGGGGTGGGGTGTGTTGGGTGTTGGGGATGTTTTTGGTATTATTGGGGGTTTTTTTTTGGGGGTGTGGTTTGATTTTTTTGTGTGGGTTGGGTGTTTGGTTGGGGGTTTTTTTGGTGGTTTGTTATTTGGATTGGGTTTGGTGGGGGGTATTTTTGGTTGTTTGTTGATTGATTTGGTGGTTGTTTTATTTGTTTTGGTGTGGGGTGGGTGGTGGGGGGTTTTTGGTTGTTTGGGGGGGAGGTGGGGGGGTTTTTTATAATTGAGAAAGAAAAACGGAAGGGAGGGGTGGGGGGGAAGTTATGATTGATTTTGTGGGTTTGGGGGGGTGATTTTTGTTTGATGGTGTATGTGTATGGTGGTTAGTATGATTGGGGGGATTTGGTGGTGGTTAGGAGGGATGGGTATGTTTTTGGGGGTTGATATATTTTTATTTTATTTTTTGATTGGTTATGTTGTTATATGAGGGGATTGTGGGGTGGTGGTTGTGTGGGGATGGTGTGTTGGGGTAGATGAGAGTGGGGATGGTTGAGGGGGATGGGGGTTGGTGGAAATTTAGTTGGGTAGGGGGGGATGGGTAAGAAAGGGTTTTATTTATAAGGTGGGAGAGAGATGTGGGTAGGTAGAAGAAGGGGGTTGGGGTGGTGTATGAAGGGGGGGATGATAGGGGTGGTGGTTTAGGGGGTATGATGAGGGGGGTGGGGTGAGTGTGATTTGTGGTTGGTTAGGTAAAAAGGTTGTTGATTTGTTTGTTTTGGGAGGTGGTGTTAATTATTTGTAGGAATGGTGGATTGGGTTGTATTGGAGGATTGGGTTGTTGATGGGTTGAAATATTAGTGATAGGGATGTGTTTTTTTTTTTGATATGGTTTGGGGTTTTTGAAGGATGTATAGGTATGTATGGATAGTTTGGTAGGGGGGGGGTGATTGGATTATTTGGGGGGTTTGGAGTGGAGAGTATTATGGGTTAATGGGGGTATTTAGTTAGGGGGTATTGGTGATGTTGTATTGGGGGGGATGGATTAGAGATTGATGTGGTTTTGAAGGTGGGTTTTTGAGAGAGATTAATTTATTATTAGTGGTGTGTTTTGTGTGTGTGGGGGAGTTGAGTGGGGTAATGGAGGGGATGAATAGTTTAAGGGTGGTGGTGATATGTGAATGGAAATGAGAGGGGATAGGGGGAGGAGAAGGGGGGGGGAGATTTTTGTGGTAGGGTTTTATAGAGAGGGGGAAGGTTAATTTGTATGGTGAGAGGGGGTGGGAAGGGTGGTTAAGGTGAGGGGATTGGGTAGGTGGGGGGTGGTTTGGTGTGGGGGTTAGTGTTGTTGGTGTTTGTTTTGGGGGGGGGTGGTTTGGTGGTATGATGGGAAGGTTTTGGGGTTGTGTTTTGTTTGATTGGTGTTGGGGTTGTGGGTAGTTTGGTTGGTGGTGGGTTAGTGTGGTGTTTTGTTTTTGAGGGGATTGGGTTAGTGTATTGGGGGGTGTTTGAGGATTGATAAGGTAGGAATGAAGGTTTGAGGGGGAAATGGAGCTGGGGGGGGGGGGGGGATGGTGAAAATGGATTAAATGAATGGTTGGGAGTTAAGTATGTTTAGGGTTATTTGGGGGGGGTTTTATAAAGGAGTGTTAAATGGTGTGTAGGTTAAGTGTGGATGTTGAAATGAAGAGATTGGGGGAAGTTTTGGGGGGGGATTGGGGTGTGGGGGGGGGGGGGGGGGGGGGGGATGGTTTTTATGGTGGGGGGGGGGATGTTTAGGTGTTTGATGGTGTTTGTATAGAGGATGGGTGGTTGTTGGGGTGTGGGGGTGTGGGGGAGGTTGTGTTTATGGTTTGTGGGATGGGGTGGGGGGGGTAGTTTATTATTGATGTTTGGTTTGTGGGGTTGGATGGGGATGGGGGGGGTTGTGATGTTATGAAGAGAGAAAGGTGGGTTATTTAGATTTTTTGATTGTGTTGGGGGTGAGGGGGGTGGATGATAGGGTTGGGATGGGGGGTGGGTTGGGGGTGGAGGGTATTTGTTTAGAGGGGGGGAAGGGAAGGGGGGATTAAGTGGGGGGGGAAATGTGGTGAAGTTAGATATAATAGGGGGGGGGGGGGATAAGGTTGGTTTGAGGGGGTAGAGATAATGGGGGGTTGTGGGGGGGGAATGTTTGTGTGTATAATAAGAATAGGGTGGTGGTATAGGTGAATATAGAATAGGGTTGTATTGGAAGGGTGATGAATTGATATGGGAATGATAGATGGATGGTTTGGTAATGAGATTTAGGTTGTGTGGGGATGTTAATTATGATTTGTGGGGGTTGTTGTGTTGGGTAGGGTTGGGGGTAGGGGTAGGATGGGTGGGTGGGGGAATTAGAGGAGGTGGTGGGAGGGGTTTGGAGGTGATAGGGGTTTTGGGATTATATTTTAATGTGATTGTTTGGGTGGGGGTGTTTTTTTTTTGTGTTTGGGGGTTTATTGGAGTTATTTTGGGTTTTGGTGGATTGGGGAGTGGGTAGATAGATTTGGTTTAATAGGGGGGTTTAAGAGAGGGGGTTGTATTGGTTAAGAGAGGGTTATATGTTGGGGGATTTGAGGGTTGATGTGGAGTTATATATGGGTTTAATATAAGGGGGGGGGGGGAATAGAAGGGAATAGTTTTTATTTTAGGTGGGTATTGGATATGTGGAGAGATATGTTTGTGGTATTGTGTTTGGGGTTTTTGGGGAAGGGGAGGTGGTGAGAGTGGATAGGATTATGAGGTGGTGGGTTTGGGGGGGGGTGATTATTATGTTTGGGATGGGGGGTGTTTGAATGAAGAAGGGTATAGGATGAGGGGGGGGGGTTGTGGGAGGGGGTTAGAGGGGTGAAAGGTGGTAATTGGGTGGATGGGGGGGAGTAAAATATGGGGGTATATGGGAGGTGGAGTAGAATATGATGTGTTTTTATAAGGATGTTTAGATTTGATGATATGGTAGGGGGGTTTATGTATGGTTGGGGGGTAGGGGTAGGTTGTAGATTATTGTAGAATTGAATTGAATTTTGTATTTGGGTGGGGGGGGGGGGTTATGTTTGGGGGATGATGGTGATGGGGGTATTTGTGATGTTAGAGGGGGGTGGGATTTATGGGTAATGTTAAGTGGGTTGATGGAATTAAGGGGGGGGTTGGGTGGTTTATGTTTTGGATTTTGGTATTATAGGGAGATGATTGGGGTAAGTTGTTGTGATAGGTTGAAGGGGGGGAGAGATTTTTATGGATTATGTGGGTTGTTTGTGATTTAATAGTTATGATAGGTAGTGGGGGGGGGGGAATTTGGGGAGTGGTTGGGTGTTTTGTGGGGGGGGGGGGTGTTAATAGGGTGGTAAGGGATATGTTGGATGATGTAATTGGGTTGGGTTATGGAAGGAGGGGGGTGTATGGGGGTTGTGGGAGGGTGGGATGAGGTGTGGGGGATATGTTTGTGGATGGTGGAGGGGTGGTTGTTGTTTGTTATGGGTTGTGAGGGATTTGGTATGTGAGTTTGGGATGTTTTTGGGGGGGGGGGGGGGTTTTGTTTGGTGGTGTGGTGGGGGTTTGTGTGGGGGGGGATTATGGTTTTGTGGGATTTTGTTTTATATTTGATTTTTAAGGGGTGGGGGGGGGGGGATTGGTGTTAATTATATTTGATGTTGGTTGGGGGGGTGTGGGGTAGGAGGTGAGTGTTGATTGTGGGGGGGGGTGGAAATTTGGTTTTGTATAGGGGGATTTGTTGGGGTGGGGGGGGGGGGGGGGGTGTGGTGGTGGGGGGATGGGATTGGGGTTTTTTTGGTTTGTTGTTTATTGGTGGGGGTGGTGATGTTTGGTTTGTGGGGGGTTGGAGTGTGGGGGGGGGGGGGTTGGTATGGGGGGGGGGGGTTATTTTATTGTAGTTGTAATTGATGGTAAGGGGATGTTATAGGTATAAGATGAGTAGAAGGTATATGATTATATGGAATGGGGGTTGGGTTAGGGTGGTGTAATATGATTGAGATGGGGTGTGGAGTTTTGTTTTTTGGTTTTTTGGTTTTGATGGGGTTGTATATATATTGTTGATATGTGTGTGGATATTATTTTTGAATGGTAGAATTTGTGGTATTGGTTAAGGTAGGGTGAGGGTTATTGTATGAAGATGAAATTTAGGGTATGTATGGAGGGTAAAATGATGGTAGAGGTATTATGTTTAGGTGTTGTTATGGGGTAGGATATGGTTTGTGGAATGAAATATAGATTATTGTTTTATGAGTGGGGGGGGGGGGGTAGTAGGGAGTTGAGGGTTATGAGGATGTGGATGGGGGATGGTGTGATTAGGGTTAAGAGATTAGGAGGGAGGGGTGAAGGTATTTGGGGGGGGAGGTTGTGTGTTTTTTTGGGTTATTTGGGGGGTTTATTGGATTTTGGATAGGGGTTTTGTGGTGTTTTGTTTGGGGGGTGTAATGTTATGGTATGGGAAGTGGTTTTGTATTGTATTGTATTGTTATTGGGTGGAGGGGGTGTAAATGGTTGGATAGTATTTGAGGAGTTTTAGGTTATTTTAATGGGGGGTTTGATTAATTATATGTGATGTGGTTGATTGGTGTTTTATATGTTTTTGTGTTTATATATATGTGTTTTGGAATGTATGGGGTGTTGAGTATGGAAGGTGATGATATTTGAAGGGAGGGGGTATTGTTTGGGGTAGTTAGGTATTATTGGTATATAAGTTGAGGTATTTTTTTATGAGGTTTTTTAGTGTTTAAATTGTTGTAAATGGGTTTTTTGAAAGAAGAATATAGTAGAGTTGGGTGAGTGTTAGTAGTGTGGATGTGATATGGGAGGGGGGGGGGGGGGGGAGGAGGATGGATATAGAAGGGGAGGGTGATAGGATGGAGAGGTTTTGTGGTATGAGGTGAATTTGGGGATGTGGTTTGATTGGGTGGGGAGAAATGTAGGTAGGTGTAAGATGGGTGATTTTGGTGATTTAAGGAGTGTAATTTGATTGGGTAAGTTGGTTATGGGTTTTTAAGTTTTATAGGGGGGGGATTGGGTATTGGGTTATTGAGGGGGGGGGGAGGGGGGGGGGGATGGTAGTTAGGGGATGTGGGGGGTTGAAGAGGTGGGGGAAGGGGGATGTATGTTTGGGGGTTTTGGGGAGGGGGGGGATTAAGGGGATGGGGTTGGGGTGGGGAGAGGTTGAGGGGATTTGTTTGAATGTTATTATTATTGAGTATGTTGGGGGGTAGTTGGGGTTGGAGGTGTTGGTTTTGGGGATGGTTTTGTGTGGTAGTTGAGTTTTAAAGTGGGTGGATAAGGGATAGGGGAATGTTTATTTTTTGTGAGTGGGGATGGGGGGGGGGATTTGGGGTGGGGATGGTTTATTGGTTGTGTGTTTGAGGGGAGGGTAGGGAGGGGGGTTTTTTGAGTGGGGTTTGGATAGTGGGGGTGTTTAGGGTTGTGGGGTGTGGGGGGTGTTTAATTAGTGAGGGTTATGAAGAAGAGAGGGATATGGTGATGAGGGAGGGGTAAAAGAAAGAGAGGTATAATGGTTAGATAGAAGGGAAGGAGGGGGAGAAGGGTGAGAGGTAAAGTTTATATAGGATATTTTAATATGTATGGTAATTTGTATAATAGTTAATTTATATGTATTTATGGGTATGGGTATGGGTATGTGTAGATTATGGTTAAATGTATGGAGGATGTATATAGAGGTGGATATGGTATAGGGGTATGTTAATTGGGTATATAGTTATGTTGGGTATAAGTGGAGGTATGGGAATGGGGGGGTGGGGGGGGGGGTATGGTAAGTTGGGGAAAGAGATGGTTTTTGGGAGGGGGGGGGGGGGGTGTGGGTGTAGGAGGGTGGGGGGTGTTTTTTGTAGTATTGGGAGTTGTATTAGTTGGGGATGGTTGGTGTTTTTGTTTGTTTTTTTGTGTGGGATTTTGGATTGAATGGTGTGGGGGTTTTTTGATTGTATGGGGGGAGGGTGGGGGGGTAGTTGGAGTGGGGGGGGGGGGGGGTTGGGGGGAATTGTTATAGGGGTTGAGAGTATTAGTGAGTTTTATGGGGAATGTTATTGTTGGTTTTGGGTATGGTGTTAGGTTTGGTGGGGGGGGGGTTGGGGGGTGGTGAGGGTTTAAGGGGGAGTATTTGGAGGGGGATTGTTTTATGGGGTGTTGGGGTTTTGTATGAAGATAGGGGGGGATGGGGGATGTTATTGGTGTGGTGGATTTAGGGGGGATTTTAAGGGGGGGGGTGTTAGGATTTTGATGATAGGAGAGATTTTGTGGGGGGGTTTTGGGTGAAGATTTTATTGGGAGGATTGATTGTTTGGGGAGGGGAGATTTTGTGTGTAGATTTTGGTGTGGGTTATTATGATTGGTAGGTGATGGGGGATGGGGGTATATGGTAGAGAGAGAGGAGGGGGATTTGATTTTTTGAATGTGAGGGGGGGGGGGGGGGTATATTTATAGGTATAGTGGTATTATGTTGGGGTATATATAGGGTGGGTGGGGGTTGTTTTGTTGAGGGGTGTGGTGTGGGGGGGGGGGATGTGGTGTGGGGGTGGTGGATGGGTGTGGGGGTTGGGGTTGGTGTGGTTTTTGTATTGTGTGAGAGGAGGGATGGATGGTTGGTTGTGTGGGGGTGGGGTGTGGGTGGTTATAGATTTTGGATATATGATATTGTATTGTGTTGGGATTGGGTGGTGTATTAGTGATGGGTTAAGAATAATAATGGAGGAATAGGGGGATGGTTGGGAGGATGTGTTATTTTATTGTTTGGGTAGGATGGAGGGTATTTGGGGTGTTTTGGTGTGGGTAGGGTTAGTTTGGAGGTTTTGGGTGTTTGAGAATGGATAAAGGAGGGAATGTATGGATAGGGGGGGTAATGTTTGATTGTTTATTATTATGTTATGATGTTAGATTGTAGGATTTTTATATTTAGAGGGGTAAGTGATTTTTCGTTGTTTTATGGATGTGAGGGATGTTTTAGGGGGATATTGAGGATGTTTTTGTAATTTAGGATGATGGTTGGGGGGGGGAAATGTGTGGGGGGGAGGGGGTTTTAGGAGAGATATAGGAGATTGGGGGGTGGGAGGATAGATGGTGATAATGTATGGGTTGGAGGAGGGTAGGGAGGGATTGTTTTAGGGATAGGATGGGGGAATTGGGATTTTGAATTGGATGATTTTGGTGGGAATTTGGATGTTTGAATGGGGAATTTGTTGGGAATTTGGGGTGAATTTGGGGGGAATTTGGGGGAATATTTTTTTTTGGGGGGGGATAGTGTTGAGTGTTTGAGTTTATTGGGGAGGTTGCTGGGAGGGGATTGGGGTTTGTGTTGAATTTATGTGTGGGGGGTGTTGGGGGGGGTGGTGTTTTGTTTTGTGTGTGGTTTGGGGGGGGGTGTTTTTTTTTGTGGTGGGAGTGTTTGGGGGTTTTTTTTTTTTTGATGGAATAATAAGTTTTGTGAATTGAGGGTGTGGTAGGTTAGGAAGTATGGGTTTATGGGGGGTGGGGGTGGGGATTGTATGGAGAGGGTTTTTATATGTGTTTTTGGGTGGGATTGGTGGTGTTGTAGGGGGGTTTGGTTTTTGATTGGAATTGGGATTAGGTTTTGGTTGGATAGGATTGTGGGTATTTTATTGGGGGTTTTGGTAGGGGGGGAGGAGGATATGGGGGGTTTTGGTGGTGGGGTTAGGGTTATTTTGGGGGGGGAGGTTTTGGGGTGTTTGTTGGTGATTAGAGGTGGGATGGAGTATGATGGGGGGGATTATTTTGTTTTGGGGAGTTTATGGGGGTGGTATGTTTTTTGTTGATTGTGTTGGTGGTGGGGTTTTGGGTTTTTGGTTATTGTATTTTATTTATTTGGGGTAGGGTGGTTTTTTGGGGATTGGGGGGTTTTAGTGTTTGGTAGGTGGTTGTGGTGGTTTTGGGGGGGGGGGGTGAGGGTTTATGGGGGGGGTGGGGGGGGGGTGTATTTTGGATTGTTTTGGTGGGTGGGGTATTTTTTGTTTTTAGTGTGGGGGGGGGGGTAGTTTTTTTGTGATGTGTTGGGGGTTTTATGTGTTGGGGGGTTGGGTTTGTTAGGGTGGAGTTTATTTTATGGGGTGAGGGATTTAGTTTTAGGAGGGGATGGTGGGGGAATTTTTAGGGGTAGATGGGGGGGGGGGGTGGGGGGGGATGTTGTTTTGTTAGGGTGGGGGGGGGAGTGGGGGGGTGAGGGAGTGTTTGGTTTTTTGTTTGTTTGTGGTTTTTTGTTTGAGATGGGGTTTGGGATGGGGGAAGGTGGAAATGTTGGGGGAGGGGGGGATTGGAAAGTATGTAGGTTAAGGATAAGTTTAGAATTAGGGGTTGAGGGGGAGGGGAAGGGGGGATTGTATAGGTTATTATTAGGGGGAAATTTAAATATAGTATAGGGGGGTTTTGTTTGGGGGGAGTTGATTTAGATTTGGTGAAGGAAGAAGGGGGTAGAAAATAAGATGTGGGGAATGGTGGAGGGGGATGTTAATTTTTGGGTGGGTATTTTGGTGGGTTTTGGTTTTAAGGGTAAATGTTTTGGGGGGTGGTTTGGTTTTGGGTGTTGTGTTGTTTGGTTGTATGTTTGTGAGATATTTTTGTATGTATTGTTTTAGTTGTTTGATGGTAGGGGGGATGTTTATAGGTTTTGGTTGTGTTGTTTTTTATGGGGAAGGGGGGTTTGGTTGGGAGGGTTGTGGTGGGGGGTTTTGGTGTTTGTGGGGGGGGGGTTGGGTGTGGGGGGTGGGGGTTTTGTTATTTTGGTTGTAGTTTGTGTGTTGGGGGGATGGAGAGGGGGTATTTGTTTGGGGGATTGGTTGAGTGGTGTTGGGGGGATATATGGTGAGGGGTTTTGTGGGTGTAGTGAGGATGGGGTGAAAGAATAAGATATGTTTATTTATTTTTATTATAGGTTGTGTTGAGGTTTGTTTGGGGGTATTTGATTGTTTGTTTTGGTATGTATTATTGTTGGTGGGTATTTTTTGGATTTGGTGGAGGGGGGGTGGTGGGGGGGGGGTTGTTGTGTTTGGTTGGGGGGGGTTGGTTGTGGTGGGTGTTTTTGGGTTTGTTGGGGGGGGTTGGGGGGTTTTGTTGTTGGTGGGTTTGGGGGTGTTTATGTTGGGTTATAGGGGGGGAGTTGTTTGAATTGGAGTATTAATTTAGGGGGTTGAAGGGTGGATGTGTTGTTTGTTTGGGGGTTTTGTGGGTGGTTGTGGGTTGGTGGTGGGTGTAGGGTGTGTTTGTGGGGTTGTGGTGTGGGAGAGTGGTGTGGGGGTTGTTGTTTTATTTGGTGTTGGTGTGGGTGTTGTGGGATGGGGGTATGGGGTTTTGTGTTTTTTGTGGGTGGGGGGGGGGTTTTGGTGGGGGGGGGGGGGTGGGTTTTGTGTGTTTTTAGTTTTTTTGTGGGGTAATGTGTTAGGGTTTTGATTTTTATGGTGATGGTGGTGGGGTGTGGGTTGTTGTTTTTTTTGTTTGGGGTTGGTGGTGGGGGTGGGGGTTATTTGTGGTTTGGGGTTTTGAGTGGTGGGTTGGGGTATGTTGGTTGTTGGGGGGTGTGGTTGTGTTTATGTTTGGGTTTGGGGGTGGGGGTTTTGTTTTTTAGGTGTGTTTAAGGAGTGGTTGAGGTAGGGGGGGTGTGGGGTGAGGGTGGGGGGTTTTGGTTATGAGGGGGGGTGAGTTTGGATATTTTGTGGTGTTGATATAGGTTATTTTTGGGGGGGGGTTTATGAGTGGGAGGGGGGATGGAAGTGGGGGTGGAGGGTTGGTAATAATGTGGGGGGGTGGTATGTTGGTATGGAGTTTTTGGGGGGGGGGGATGGTGTGGGGGGTTAAAATAATAATGGTATATATAAAATTGTTTAATGGAGGTGGGTGGAGGAGATAGATTTTGGTGATTGGAAAGGTATTTGGGGATTAAAGTGGAGTGTTGGAAAATATGGGGGGATTTGGGGGGGGGGGGGGGGTGTATGTGGAGGGGGGTTTGAGTAAAGATTTAGAGTGAAGGGGTTGGGGGGGGGGGTTATTTGGTTTTGGGTAATAGGAGTTAAATGAATGGGAAGAAATTAGGGAGGGGATGTAAGGATGGATGTGGATATAAGAGGATGTTTTGATGTGTTGGTGGATGGTGTGGTGGTGTGATTGTGAAAGTAAGGGATGTAGGTTTGGTAGAGTATTGGTAGAATGGGGGGTAGTGTGGGGTAGGAGTGGGGTTTTGTGGAGGGAGGTGGGGGTAGGTTTTGGGGGGATGTGTTTAGGGGGTAGGGGAAGGTGGGAGAGGGAGTTTTTTTATGTTTATATGGGGGTTGGGGGTTTTTAGTTGTTTTGTTTAGGAATTGGGGGATATATATGATGGAGTAGGGTGATGGTTTGTAGTTATTGGGGGGGTGTGAGATGAAGGGGAATGGAGAGTGGGGGGGTGGTGGGGGGGGGGAGTTATAGGGGAGGGGAAGATAGTGGTGTGAGATGGGAGGGGGAGGGTGAGGGGGGTGGGAATATGGGGGGAGGGGGGTTTAGGGGGTAGTGTGGTGGGTGGGGGGGTGGTGTGGGGGGGGGGGGTTTGGGGGGGGGTTGGGTTGGTTGGTTGGGGTTTTAGTGGGTGGATGAAGGGTTTATTGGGGGGTATGTTGTTGGGTTGATGTATTTGGGGGGTTGTGGTTTGTGTTGTTGGGTGGTGAGGGGGGGGGGGGGGGGGGGGGGGTGGGGATTGTGTGTGTTGGGGTGGGGGTTGTAGTGGTTTGGGGGTAAGGGGTGATTTGGGGTGTGTTAGGGTTTAGTGGGGTTGTTTGGTGTTGTGGTTGGTTTGGGGGTGTGTGGGGGTGGGTTTGGGTTTGGGGGGTTTGGGGGGTGGTGTGGGGGGTTTGGGTTTTTTTGGGTTTTGAAAGGGGTGTTGTTGAGGATGGGGTTAGGAAAGGGGGTTTTTAATGGGGGGGTTTATGTTTTATTGGGTGTTTTATGTTTAGGGGGGGTTGTGGGGGGGGGGAGGGGGGTATTTTAGGGGGTTTGGGGTAGTTGGGATTGAGTGTTTGTATTTTGTTATGTTATTTTATTGTGGGTATTGTGATGAGGGTTTGGTATGTATTTTGTGGGGGGGGGGGGGTGTTTATTGGGGAGTATGTTGGATTGGGGTGATTTTGGGTAGTGTGTGGGAGGGGGTGGTGGGTATGGGGGGGGGGGGGGAAGGGGGTGTGTTTGGGGTTGGGTTTGTGGTGAATTATGGGGGTGGGGGGTGGGTTTTGTCTGGGGTGGGTTTGTGGGGGAGTAAGATGTTTTGTTTAGTAGGGTTTGTATTGTGGGAAGGGGGGGTAGTTGGGTTTGGGTGATAGAGTTGGGGGGGTGGGGTATTTGTGTTTTTATTATGATGGTGTGGATGGGAGGGTTAGTTGTTGTGGTTGGTGGTGGTGTGTGGGGGTGGGGGGGGTTGGGGGGGGGGATATGAGGAGTGTGGGGGTGATGGGTTTTTATTAATGTAGGAGGAGGGAGAGGGTGGGGGTTGAGGTTGGATTTTGGGGGAGTTGGGAGGGTGTTGGGAGGGGATTGTGGGGGTGGTATGGTTGGGGGTAGTTTGGGTTGGGGGGTTATGGGGGGTGTTATTTGGTTTTAGGGGGTTTTTTTGGTTGGTGGGGTTGGGGGTGGTGGGGGGGGGGTTGTTTTTTATTGTGGGTTTTGTTTTAGGGGGGGTGGGTGGGGTTTGTGTGGTGGTGGGGTGGTTTGGTTGGTTGAGTGTGGATGTTTGGGTGGGGGGGGTTTGGGGGGTGGGGGGGTGGGGTGGGTGGGTTTTGGGGGGTTGTTGGGTTTGGGTGTGGGTGGGGGGGTGGTGGGTGGTGTGTGTTGTTTGTTTGTTGTTGTTGGTTTTTGGTGGTGTGGTGGTTGGTTTTGTTTTGGGTTTTGGTGGTGTGTTGGGGGGGGGGGGGGGGGGGTTTTTTTTTGGGGTGTGTTTGTGGGTGTGTTGGTTGTTTGGTGGGGTGGGGTTTTGTTGATGGGGTGGTGGGGGTGGGGGGGGGGGTGGGGGGGGGGGGGGGGGGGGGTTTGGGGGGGTGGGGGGGTGGGGGGGTGGGGGTGGGTTGTGTGGGTGGGGTTTTTGTTTGGTGTGGGGGGGTGGTGATGTTGTTTTGTGGTGTTGGTTGGGGGTGTGGGGGGGGGGGGGGGGGTGGGTTGGGGGGGGGGGGGGTGGTGGGGGGGTGGGGGGGGGGGGATGTTGTGTTTGTGTTGGGGTGGGTGGGGTTGTTTTGGTTTGTTTTATGTGGTTGGGGGTTGTTTGTTTGTTGTTGGTGTTGGTTGGGTGGTGTGTGTGTGAGTGGGGGGTGGGGGGGGGGGTGGTTGGTGGTGGTGTGGGGTTTGTGTTGTGGGGGTGTGTTGTGGTTTTTTTTTTTGATATGGTGTGGTGGGTTTGGGTTTTATAATAGAAGGAAAAGAAAATTAATAGGGATTTAGGGTGGGGGGGGGGTTGTGTAAGTATTGGTTTTTGGTGAGTGTTGGGTGGGGGTGGGAGGATGTTTGTTAGTTTGGGTTGGGGGGGGGTTTGGGGGGGGTTGATTTTTTGGGGGTTGGTTTATGGTGGGGGGTGGGTGTGGGGTTTTGTTATTTTTGGTTGTTTTTTGATATGTTTTATTTATTTTGTATATTGTTTGTTATGATAGATATTTTGGATATGGGTATGTTTGTGTATGTTTTGATTTATGTTTTTTTTTGGGGTTTTTGGGGTTGATATTGGTTTATTTATGTGGGGGGTTGGGGGGAGTGATAGGGTTGATGTTGGGGGGTTGTTTGGGTTGGGTTGGGATGTGGGTTGTTGGTTGGGGGGTTTAGAGGTGGATAGGGGGGGGGGGGTGGGGGTGGGGGGGGGGTAGTGGTTGTTGGTTAGGGTGTTGGTTGTGTTGTTTTTTTATTTGGTGGGGTTTGGTTTAGTTGGTGGGGGGGTGTTTTGGTGGGATGTTTTTGTGTTTGTGGGGGTTTGGTGTGTTTGGGTTGGGGTTTGGTGTGTTTGTTGGGTTGGTGTTGGGGGTTTGAGTTGATGGTGTTGTTGTAGGGGTTGGTGTGGTTGATTTGGGTTTGGGGGGGGTGGTGGTGGGTGTGGTGTGTGGGGTTGGTGGGTGGGTTTTGTTTGGTGGTTTGGTGTGAATTTGGGGTAAGGTAGAAGTGTTTAGTGTAAGTTAAGATTAAGATTTTAAGTGGTAAATGTGTGGCAGTAAGGTTTTTTTAGGGTGGGTGGGTGGGGTTTGATGTATGGGGGTTGGGAGTTTGTTATGTAGATGGGAGGGTGGGGGGGGGGGGGGATAGTGAGGAGTTGAGTGTGATGGGTATATGTATGGGGGAAGGTATTTTAATGAATTGGTTTTAGGAGTGAGTGGAGTGGAGTTTTTATTGTTAAGGGGTATTTGGATTATATGGTTTGGTGGATGATGAGGTATTGTATTTTAGGGGTTTTGGGGGTGTTGTGTTGGGGAGGTAGGGGTGTGGGGTTTGTGTGTTTTTTGGTGTTGGGGGGTGGTTGGGGGGGGGGGGATTGTTTTTTTGGGAATATGTTTGGTTTTGTGGTTAATTTATTGGGTGAAGGGGTGTGGTGATAGTGTTGTGGTGTGGATTTTGGTGGGTTTGTGGTTTTGGGGTATTTGGATATTTAGTTTGTTGGGGGAAAGATTAGTTATATGTGGGGGGGTTTGGTGTGGTTGTGTTTGGGGTGGATGGATTGGTATTTTTTGTTGGGAGGTTTTTGTTGGTGGTGGTTAGAGTTGTGATTTGGGGTGTGGTATGGGGATTTTTGGGAGGTTTTTGGGGTTTGGGTAGGTATGGGGTGGGATGGGGTGTTTTGTTGTATTTGGATAGTGGGGATTTTTGTGGGGTTGGGTTGTGTTTGTGTTGGTTGGGTTGTTGGTGGGTAGTTGTTGTGTTGTTGTGGTTTTTTTTGTGGTATTTTTTGGGGTGGTGGGGGGGTTTTTTTGTTATTTTTTTGGGTGGGTTTGGGGGTTGGGTTTGGGGGTTGTGTTGTTGGTGTTGTTTTGGTTGGTTTTATTTGGGGGGGGGTTTGGGGTTGTGTAGGGTTTTTGTGTTTGTTATTTTTTGTTTGTGTTGGGTGTGGGGGTGTGGGTTTGTTGTTGGGGTGGTTGGGGTTGGTTTGATGATAATTTATGGGGGGAAGGTATTGTGTGTGAGGGTTTGTGTTTGGTGTTGTTTGTTTTTTGTTTGGGGGTTTGGGGGGTTTTGGGTTGGTTGGGGGGGGGGGGGGGGGGGTTTGGGGGTGGATGGTGTGGGGGGGGGGGGGGGGGGGGGGGGGGGGGGGGGGGGTGTGTTTGGGGGGTTTTTTTTTTGTTTGTGTTTTGGTATAGGTGTTGGGGTTTGTTTTTGTTTTTGGGTGGTTGTTTTGGGGTGGGGGGGGGTTTGTGTGTTTGTGTGTTTTGGGTGTTTTTTTTTTGGTATTTTTGTGGGGTGTGTGTGTGGGGTTGGGGGGGTTATGTGGGTTGATGGGGGTTTGTTTGGGTATATGAGTTTGGTTTTTGGGTTTTTTTTTGTTGTAGGGTTTGTTTGGTTGGGGGGGTTTTTGGTGTTGGTGTGTTTTGGGGGTGGTTTTGGTGGGGGGTGGTTGTTGGGGTTTGTTGTGGGGGTGTGGGGGGGGGGGGTGGGGTGTGTGGGTGGGGTTTTGTGGGGGGGGGGGGGGGTTGTTGGGGGGGGGGGGGGTGGGGGGGGGGGGGGGGGGGGGTGGGGGGGTTTTGGGTTGGTTTTGTTTTGGGGTGTGGGGGGGGGGTGGGGGGGTTGTTGGGTGGTGGGGGGGGGTGGGTGGGGGGGGGGGGGGGGTGGGGGGGGGTGGGGGTTGTGGGTGGGTGGGGTGGGGGGGTGGGGTGTTTTGGGTGGGTGTGGTTGTTTGTGGTGTGGTGTGGTGGGTGTTGTGTGTTTTGTTTTGTGTGTTTTTGTTTGGGGGGTGTGTGGGGTTGGTGTGGGGGGTTTTGTGGTGGGTTGGGGAGGGTGGGTTGGGGGGGGTTAGGTTGTTGGGGGGTGGTTGGTTTGGGTTGGTGTTGGTGTGGGGTTTGGTTGGGTTTGGTGGGGGGGTGTGTTGTGGTTGTGTGGTGTGGGGGTTGGGTGGGTTGTGGGTTGGTGGGTGTGTGGGGGGTTTGTGGTTGGTTGGTGGGGGTGTTGGTTTGTGTGGGGGGTGGTGGGGGGGGGGTTGGTGTGTTGGGTGGGGGGGGGGGGGGGGTGGGTGTGGGGTTGTGGTTTTGTGTTTGGGTGGTGGTGGTTGGTGGTGGGGGTTTGGTTGGGGGGGGTTTGGTGTGGTTGTGGTTGTGTTTGGGTGTGGGGTGGTTGGGGTGGTTGGTTGTGGGGTGGGTTTGTGGGGGGTGGTTTGTTTTGTTGGATGTTGTGTGTGTGTTTGGGTGGGGGTTGTGGGGGGGTGGTGGTTGGGGTGTTTGGGTGGGTGTTGGGGGGGGGGGGGTTGGGGTGGGGGGTTGGGGGGTGTGTTTGGGTGGGTGGGTGGGGGGGGGTGGGTGGGGGGGTTTTGTGGTTTTGGTGGGGGTGGGGTGTGGGTGGGGTTGGTGGGTGGGGTTTTGGTTTGTGGGTTGGTTGGGTTTGTGTGGGGGTTGGGTTGTGTGTGATGGTTTTTTGTGGGTTGGGTGGGTGGTGGGGTGTGGTTTGGGGGTGTGTTTTGTTGGGGAGTGGTGTTTTGGGTTTGTGTGTGGTGGGGGGGGGTTTGGTTGGGTTGGGGGGGGTTGTGGGGTTTGGGGGGTTTTGTGGGGGGGGGGGGTTGGGGGTGTGGGGGGGGTTTTGTTGGTGGGTGTGGTGGGGGGGTGTGGTGGGTGGGGGGGGTGGTGGTGGGGGGGGGGGGGGGGGGGGGGTGGTGTTTGGGTGTGGTGGGGGTTTTGGGGAGTGTGGGGGGTGTGGGGGTTGTGTGGGGTGGGGGGTGGGGTAGGTGTGGTGGGTTGGGGGGGTTGGGGTGTTGGTGGTGGGGGGGTGTGTGGGGGGGGGGTGTTGGTGGGTTGGTGGGTGGGGTGTTTGGGGGGGTGGGGGTGGGGAGGGGGTTGGGTGGGTTGTGGTGTGGGGTTTGGGGTTTTGTGGGGGGGGTTGGGTGTGTGTTTGGTGTGGGTTGGTGGTGGGGTGGGTTGTGTGGTTTTGTGGGGGGGGTTTTTGGTGTGTTTTTTTTGGTTTTTTGTGGTTTTTGTGTTGTGTTTTTGGGGGGGGGGGGGGGGGATTGGGGGAGTGGGTTGGGTGGTTGGTGTGGTTTTGGGGTTTTTGGTGTGTGGTGTGTTGGGTGTGGTTTTTTTTGTGGGGGGGGGGGGGTGTTTTGTTTATTGTTGGTTGTTCGGGTTTTGGGGGGTTTGGGTGTGTTGGTTTGGTGGGTGGTTTTGTTTGTGTGTGGTTTTGGTTGGTGTTTTGTTTTGTGTTTGTGGTGGTTATTTTTTTGTGTGGTTTTTGGGTTGTTTTGGGGGTTTGGGTGGTGGTTGGTTGTTGGTTGTTGATGTTGGATGTTTGTTTGGGGGGTGTTTGTGGTGTTTGGGGGGTGTGTTGGATTTAATGATTTTGTTAGAATGTGGTTTGGGGGTAGGGGTTATGAGGTGTGGGTGAAGGAATTGTGGTTAGGAAAGTATTTGTGGTGGGTTGTGTAGGGGGTTTGTTTGGTTGGTTGGGGTTTGTTGGTTGTGGGTTGATTATGTTATTTGTAGTAAGTGGGTTTGATTTTTTGGATGGTATTGTTTTTGTGTTTAGTTTGGGGAGGGGGGTGAGGGGGTTTTTAAGATGGTAGGGGGGGTTGTGGTATAGTGTAGGAGGGGGGGTGTGTGGTTTATTTGGTGTGGGGGTTTTTTGGGGTTAGGGTGTGGTGGGGTAAATATGGGTATGGGGGGGTGGGGTTATATTGGGGTGGAGATAGAAGGGGTGAATTTGGTGGGGGTGGAGGTTTGATTGTGTGGATGTTGGGATGTGAAGTGTTTAGGGTTTGTGTGGGAGGGGTGGGGTATTTTTGTTTTTTGGGATAATAAGTTGGGGTGGGTTGTTTGGGAAGTGGGGTTTTGGGATGTTGGGGGGGGTTGGTGATGAAGGGGGTGATAGGGGAGTGTGTTATGGGTTTGGTGGGAGGTAGGGGATTTTTTGGTAGTATTTGAAGATAGTGGGTAGGGGGTTTGTAGGGTTATGGTAAGGTTGGGTGTTGGATGTTTGATAGATTAGGTGGTGTTTGGGTGTTTGTTGGTGGGTGGTGAAGGGGGTGGTGGTGGGGTTGTTTGTAGTGAATAGGGGTTGGGGAAGGGGATGGATAGGTGGGGAGGTGATGGTGGTGGGGGAGGATGAGGGGGTATGGGTGTTTGGGGGTGGGGATGTGTATTGTGGGTTTGGTTGGATTGAGGGGGTTATATTAGTTTTTGAGGGGGTTTAGGGGTATTTGGGGAGGTGGTTGTGGTTTTGTAAGTGAGGGGGGGGGAGGAAAAAGGTTATTATTTTAAAAATATATTTATAGTGTGGAGTGAATGGAATAAGGTGAGGATAGTGAGGGGGAGAGGGGGTTTTTAGATAATAGGGTATTTATAGGAAGGTTAGAAGGGGGGAATTGTTTGGATATTTTTGTTTGGTGGTAGGAGATGATGGGGGGTGGGGGATTGGGGGGGTTTTGGGGGGTGAATAGTGTTTTATTTTTTGGATTTAATTGTGGGATTGAGGGGATGGATTGATATGTGGGTGTTGATTTTTATGAGAGAGGGTGGGGGGGGGGTTGGGGGGGGGGGGGGGTGGTTTTTGATTTGGTTGGGGGGTGGTGTATATGGATGGGGGTATGATGTTGGTGGGGATTATGGGTTGGGGGGGAGGATTAGATAGGGTATAGATAAAGTTTGGGGATTTTGTATTGGGGGTAGTTGAATATGATTTTGTATGAAATTGGGGGGGGATTGTTTTGGTAGATTGTTTTTTGATTTTGGAGTTATAGGGGGGAAGGGGAGGGGAGGAATGGATTTTGTTGGTAGGGGGGGGGGGGGGGGGGGGGGGGGAGAGGGGGTAAATGGGGTGGAATATGAGATGTAAGTTGTGGGGGGTTATATTATGATGTTGTGTTTGGATGGGAAGGTTAGATTGTTATTTGATGGAGGAGATTGTGTGAGAGGGTGAGGGAATTAAGGATTTGGGTTGTGGGGATAGTTGGGAGATTGAGTGTAAAGTTTGGAGGAGTGGGATATGTATTTTATGGTAATGGTGGATTTTGTGGGTTTGGGGATATAGGGGGGAGGGGGGGGGATTTTGGGGGGGGGATTGGTGGAGTGTTTGTTTTGATATTTTGTATATGATGTGTGTAGGGGTTATATTATGGTTGGATTATATATTAGGTGGGATTTATAGAAAGGATAAGTATGGGATGGATTGGGGGGGGGGGGGGGGGGAAAGGGGGGGATGAGGATTGTAGGAAAAATTATTATGGGAGAACGAGGGTATGTGGGGTTGGTGTATGAATGATTGTTTTTGTGGTTGGTGAAGAGATATTATTATAATTAGGTGGTGGTGGTTTTGTGTGTGAGTTGGATTTAGAGTTGGTAGGGTGGAGGGGTGTTAGATTGAGGGAATGTGGGTGTATGGTGGGGGGGGGGGGGTTGAGAGGATGGTTTTTAATGGGGGTATTTTATATTATAAGGGGTTAGGAAGGTGGGGGGAGGGGGGGGATATAATGGGGGGGGGATGTTGGGGGGGGATATGGATGTGGGAGGGGTGGGGGGGGGGTGTGGGAGTAAGATTAGTATTTATGTGGGGGAAAATATTTTGATTTTGGGGGGGGGTTTAGGTGATTTAGGGGGGGGGATGTGGGGGGGTTGGGGGGAGGATAGATGAAGTGGGGAGGGGAGTGAGGTATAGGTGGGGAAATGGTAGGAAGGTATGGGGGGGAGGGAGTTTGGGGTGGTGAAGGAGATGTGGGTGTGTGTGGGGTGAGAGTGGAGGATGGGATGGTAAGTTTTGGTAGGTGGGGTGAAGATATGTGGGTGGTGAAGGGGGGGGAAAGATAGATAGTTTTATAAATTTAATTTGAAGGTGGGGAATGGGAGTATGGTAGTTTTATGGGTGTTGGGAGGGTTGGGGGAGATGGGTGGGGGGTATTTTGGTGGAGATGGTGGAGGGAGTGTATTTAGGGGGAGGGGGTTATGGGAGGGGGGTAGGGGGGGGGTTTGGTAGGGGAGTTGGTTTTTTTTGGATGGGGGATTTGTTGGTAGGGTGGGATATTAGTGAAGGTGATGATGGATGGGGGGTGGGGAGTTTGTTTTAATTATGGGATTTTTATTTGTATGTGGGGGGTGGTAGTTTGTGGGGGGGTTGGTTGATTTGGGGGTGTTTGTGGGGGGGGGGGGGGGTGGGGGGGAGGTGTTATTGGGGTTTTTTTTGGGATAGTTTAATTGGTGGTAAGGGTGTGGGTTGGGGGGTTGGGTTGGGGTTGTTAGGGTTTTTTTGTGGATGTGGGGGGTGTTTTAATTGGGTGTTGTTGGTGGTGTTTGTGGGGGGGGGGGGGGGTGGGGGGGTGTTTTTTGGTGAGGGGTTGGGGTGATTTTTTGGTTGTTGGGGTTTATTGGGTGGAGGGGTGTGGGGGTTTTTTGGGTTGGTTGGTGTGTGTGGGGTTTTTTTGGGTGTGTTGTTTTTGTTGTATGGTTTGTGTTTTTGGTGGTAGGGATTGTTGGGGTAGTTTTTTGTGTTGAGTTTGGTTGTTGGTGTTTTATGTTTTTGTGGGTGGTGTAGTGGGGTTTTTTTTGTGGGTTATTATGGTAGGGGTATTTGTTATAGAGAGGTTGGATTGTGGTGTTAATGTTATAGGGGTGTGTTGTGGGGGGTTTGGGGGTATTTGTAGTGTAGGAGTGAGGTGTGTTATGTGTAGTTTTTAAGTAGAATTGGTATTTATGAAGTTTTGATTGGGGAGGAATTTTTTATTTTAGGTGGAAAGGGGGGGGATAATGTTTGAGGGGTGTTGGTTTTGGGTGGGGATATGGGAAAGTTTGAAGAGGTTTTTGATTTTGAGGATTTTATATTAGTTGTTTTGGATTTGTTGATGGGTTTTGATTGGTAGAAAGGGTGTAGGTTGTTTGGGTTTGAAGGAGAGGTTATGTGTTGGGGGGAGAAGGAAGTGAGAATGTATAGGTGGGGGGATATGTGATTAATTGGGGATGAGGAGAGATATGTTTGAGGTGGGAGGTGGGGGGAGGTTAAAGTTGAGGGGGGGGTGGGTTAAGTGGAGTAAGTATGGGTAGGGAGGGGGTGGAGTTAAGAAGGATTGTAGAGAGAGGGTGATTGGAGTGAGGTTTTATGGAAGAGGGTGGGGTGATTGGGGAGTGGTTGGTTTAATGGTTGGGGAGTTTAGAAGATTAGGGATGTATTGAGGGATGTGGGGGTGGATGGGGGAGGGGTTTGTGGTGTAGGGGTGATAGTGAAGAGAGATAGGAAGTATGGTAAGGGTGATGGTGGTGGTGGGGGGGGTCTAGGGGTGGGGGGGATGGGGAGTTGATAAAGGGGGAAATGGGGGAGGGGGGGATGGTGGTTGGGGGGGGGGTATGGTAGGGGTTGAGAGTGAAGGGGAAGAAGAATAGTATAAGGAATTGGGGAAAGGGGAAATTAAAGATGGGGGTATGGGGTGGGAGGGATGGAAGATAAGGTAAGGGATAGGATGAAAGGGGGGATAATAGGAGGTATGTGGGAAATGGGAGGGGGGGGGGAAAGGATTTGAGGGTTTGATATAGGTTAGTAGGGTGGATAAAGAGGGGTGGGGAAGGAAAAAATGGGTAAGGGGGGGATTGTAATTTTTATTAATAGGGGGGGATAGGGGTATGGGGGGTATGGTGAGATGAAGAGGGAGGAAGAGAGGATAATATATTGAGGGAGGGTTAAGTAGGTAGGGTATGAGTAGGTGGTTGTAGATGGGTAGTGTGGGGAGGAAAATGATTTGATTATTGAGGTTTTTTAGTAGTAGGGTGAGAATGAGTAGGTTGTTAAAGATTATGGTTTTAGTAGATGTGTTTGTTTAGGGGGTGATAGGGGGGGTGAGGGGGGGGAATTTTTTGTGTGTGAGGTGGTTTGTTTTTGGGGTTGTGTTAAGGTTAGGGTGAGTAGATTTTATAGAGAGGGGGGGGAGAAGAAATAGATTTTTTTTATTAATGGGGAGAGGATGAGAGTTTTGGGGGTGTTTGTATGTTGTGTTATTGATGTTGGGTTGGTGATGGATTTGTTGGTATTGATGGGTTGGAATGGGTGGGTTAGAATATAGAAGAAAAGGGTATTTAGAAGTGAGAGGAAGAGAAGTAAGATTTAATAGTTTGTTTTTGGATGTGGATAGTTGATGGGGGGGGGGGGGGTTGGGGGTATATGTATAGGAGTGGAGTGTGATAGGTTATTTGGGGTAAAGGTGGGTATTTTGGTGGGTTATTTGTTGGGTGGTTTGTTGTATAAGGGGAGTGGGTTTGATGGGGGTATATTGGTATGTTTTGTGTTTTGGGGTGTGGGGGTTTGTTGGGGGTTGTTTTGGGTTGGATTGTTGTTTTGGGAGGTGTTGGGGGGGGTGTTTTGTGTGTGGGTTTTTTGTTTTTTTTTTTGTAGTTGTTGTGGGTTTGTGGTGTGGGGGGTTAGTGGTGGGTTTGGGGGGGGGGGGTTTGGTGTTGGTTGTGGTGGGGTGGTTTGGGGGTTTTTGGGTGGGGTGGTTTGTGGGGTGGGTGGTGGGGGGGGGGAGGGGGGTGGGGGGGGTGTGTGTTGGTGGGGGTTTGGGTGTGGGGTGTTTTGGTGTGGGGGGTTGGGTTTTGTTTTTGGGGTGTGGGGGGTTGTGGGGTGGGGGGGGTGGGGGGGGGGTTTGGTGGGGTGTGGGGGGTGTGTGGTGGTGGTTGGGGGTGGGGGGGGTGGGGGTGGTGTGTGTGGTGGGGGGGGGGTGGGTGGGTTGGGGTTGTGGGGGGGGGTGGGTGGGGTGGTTTTTTTGGTGGTTTTTGTTTGGGGGGGGTTGGGGGGTGTGTTGGGTTTTGGGGGGGGTTTGGGGGGGTGGGTGTTTTTGTGGTTGGTTGGTGTATGGGTGTGTGTTTGGGGGGGTTGTTTTTTGATTTGGGTTGGGTGTTTGTGTTGGTGTTGGTTGTGTTGTTTGTGGGAAGGGTTTGTTGGGGTTTGTTGATTGTGTTGGTGGTGTGGTGTGGTTGTGTATTTGTTTTGGGGGGGGGGGGTTTGGGTGTTTTGGTGTTTGATTTTGGTGTTTGTTGTGGTGTTTTTGGGTTTTTTTGGTATGTTTGTTTTGGTTTTTTTAGTGGTTTTTATGTTTTTGGGTTATGTTTGTTTGATATTGTTTGTGTTTGGGTGGGGTGAAGAGTTGTGTTTTTTTTGTATTTTTTTTATTTGATTTTTGTTTGTATTTATTTTTGTTTTTTATTTATTTATATGGGGGGGTATATAGTTTAGTATGATGTTATGTTTTTTTATTTTTTTTTTAAGTGAGTATTTGTTTGGTGTTGGATTGGGGTGGTAAGTGTGTTAGGGTGGAGTTAGTTTGGGTATTGTGATAGGGGGGTTTGGGTGGTGGGGATAGGGGTTGAGGTTAGGGGGGTAGGGTAGGGTGGTGGAGAGGTGGGGTTGTAGGGGGGGGGGGGGGGGGGGGAGTTGAGTGGGTATTTGTGTGGGGTGTGGGGAGGAGTGGGTGAATGTTGAGGTTATGTATGGGGTGGTGTTGGTGTGAGTGGGTGGGTTGGGATGGGTGTGGAGGGGGTATGTGGTGGGGGGGGGGTGTTTGGTGTGTAGTTGGATTTGTGTTTTAGGGGGTGTTATGGTTTTTTTTGGATTTTGGTTTTGGTAGTTGGGGGTTGGGGGGTGGGTGGTAGGGGTGGTGAGTTTTGTGGTTGGGGATGGATGGGGGGGTGTTGTTTTTTTTTAATGATTGGGTTGATTTGGTGGTGGTGATGGTAGTTGGGATTGATGTGGGTATGGGGGGGGGGGGGGGGGGGGGGGGGGGGGGGGGGGGGGGGGGGGGGGGATGGTGGTGGTGGAGTTATTGGGGGGGGGGGTTGGAGTTGAGGGGAGGGGGGTGAGATAGGGGGTTTAGGAATTTGTGTGAATTTGTGAGTATGGGGGGGGGGGGGGGGGGAGTGATATTTGTATGATTTTGAGGGGGGGTTGAGAGAGGGGAGTTGAGTGAGATGGGGTGAGTGGAAGGTGAGTGGGGAGTATAGATGTGGGTATGGGGGATGTGGATTATGGATAAGATGGGGGTTATATTTGGTTGGGGGGATTGGTGAGTTGTTTAAGGTTATGTTTAGTTGGTTAGGGGTGAGTAGGGGTTTGTTTGAGGGGTTTGGGGGAAGGGTTATGGGGTGTTGTGATAGGGGGAGTATTTGTTGAGAGTGGGTTTGGATTAGTGGGGTGGATGGGTGGAGTTGGAGTGTGGGAAGAGTGGGGGGGTTAGAATTTGAGAGGAGATAGGGTATTTGTTGGGAAGTGGGGGGTTGGAGGGATAGGGGTTGTGAGAGTTTTTTAGAGGGTGGAGTTGTGGTGTTAAGGTGAGTGATTATTGGTGTTATGGGGTGTGGTAGTGGGGTTTAGAGGTGGGGTTTGGGGGGGGGGTGGGGTTTATTATTTATGGGTTTTGGAGTAGGGGGTTGTGGGGGTTATGAGTATTTTTTGGGAGTATTGTAGGTGTAGGTGTGGGGATTTGGGGGGGGGAGGGGATTGGAGTTGTAGGGAATGGGGTTGGGGGGGGGGATAGGGGGAGGGGGGGTATTGTATGATATTGTTAGGAGGGGAGGGGGAGGGGGGAGGGATTTGGAGGGGGAATTGTTATTGATTTGGAATTTATGTTATTTATTTTTAGTTTGTTTGTTGATGTGGTGAGGGAGATGGGTGGATAGATGATTGGGGGTGGGGGGTGGGATTTTGTGTTTATATAGAAAATGGGGAGAATATGAGATGGATTATGGTGAAATGAAAGATGGGAAAGGGTGGGGGTGGGTGGGAGATGGGAGGATGATGGATGGGATGAGGGTTATGATGTGGGGGAAATTGAATGGGGGGGGGGGAGAATTGATATGAGTGAGAATGTGTATGAGGGGATGGGTTGATATGATGATGGGATGGGATAGGAGGGATTTGGGGGGGGGGGGGGGGGGGGGGGATGGGGATAGATGGGAAGGTATATAGGTTGATGGTGGTAGAGAGTGGGTTGGATAGGGGTGGAGTAGGGTTATATTGGGAGTGGATGAGGGGAGTTGGGAAGATGTATTTTTTGATTGAGGATGGGTAGGAGAGTTTGGGGGGGGGGGGTGATGTGAGTTGGAGGATGATTGGGTTGGTAGGATATATGTATTTTGATTTTATGATTTTGGATTAGGTGATTGGTTGGAAGAGTATTGGTTGGGATTGGTTTATGGGAGGGGGTGATTTTTTGTAATGTGATTGGGGTGTTATGGTTTGTTGGGGTTTGGGTGTTTTGGGGTTTTGGGAGGGGGGAGTTGGGTATGGAGGGGGATGGTGATGTGGTTTGGGGGGTTGGGGGTGGGGTGTGGGGGGTGGGGGGGGGGGGGGGGTGGTGGGGGGGGGTGTGTTGGGTGTAATAGTTAAAAGGGTGGGGGGAGATTTGGGTTTATAGGGGGGGGGTGGATTATTTAGTTATATAGAGATTAGAAAGTGTGTAGAGTAAGTTATATTTATAATGATGAAGAATTGTTAGAGAGGATGAGAAAGAGAGAGATATTAATAATGGGATGATGGGGGGTGGGTATATTGTGGGGGGGATGGGGAAGGGGGGATAGAGGGTGAGGGTATGGGGTAGGGGGTGGGGGGGGAATGGATTGGTTTATGTTTTAATTTTGGGTTTTGTGTTTTTTTGGTTGTTTTTGGTTGGGGGGGGTGGTGTGGTGGGGGGGTGTGTGTTGGGGATTTGTATTGGGTTGGAGATGGGGGGTTTTTAGTGGTTTGGGTTTGGTTGGTGGTGTGGTTGGTTGTGTTTGGGTTTGTTTTTTAGTTTGGTTGGGGTGATTTTTATTTTGTGTAGTTGTGTTTTTTTTTGGGTTTTAGGGTTTATGGTGGTGTGGTGGGGGGTTGGGGGGGGTGGGTGTGGTGAGTGAGATAGGGGGTGGGGTTTTTGTATGTTTGGTGGTGTTGTTGGTAGTGTGTTTTTGTTATGGTTGGGGGGTTTTTTTGTTTGTTATGTTTGTTTGTATTTTGTTTTGGGGTGTTTTGTTTTGTGGGGGTTTGTTGTTGTGGGGTGTGGTGGTTGTTGTGGGTGTGTTTTGGTTTGTGGTGTGTTTGTGGTGTTTGTGGTTGGTTTTTGGTTGGTGGGGGGGGGGTGTTGGTTTGGTGTTGTTGGGGTATTTTTGGAGTGTGGTTGGGGTTATTGTAGTATTGTGGTTGTTTGGGGTTTTGGTGTTGGGTTTGGGGTTGTTTTGGAGGGGGGGTGTGGTTGTTTTGTGGGGGTGGGGTGTTTGGTTGTGGGTGGTGTGGGGTTAGGTGGGGTTGTGTTGTTTGGGGGTGTTGGGTGGGGGTTGTTGTGTGGGGGTGTGGTGTGGGGGGGTGTGTTGGTTGGGTTTTTGGTGGGGTTTGTTGGGGGGGGTGGTGTGGGTTTGGGTTTTGTGGGGTGTGTTGGGGGTTGGGGGGTGGTGGGTTGGTGGGTTTTTTGGGTTGTGGGGGGTGGTTGGGTGGTGGGTTTGTTTGTGTTGGGGTTGGGTATGTTTTTGTTTGTGGGGGGGTTTGTTTGTTTTTTGGTTGGTGGTTTGTTTGGTTTTGGGGGGGTTTTTTGTTTTGGGGGGGGTGGTGTTGGGGTTGATTTTTGTGTTTGGGTGTTAGGTTTTTGTGGTTTTTGTGGTTTGTGGGTGGGGGTGGTTGGTGTGGGGGGTGGGGTGTTTTTTGTTGGGTTTTGTGTTTGTAGAGGTAGTTTTTTATTTTTTTTTGGGGTGTTTGATAGGTTGTGAGATTTGGGTTGTTTAAGAGTTGGTTGTGGGGTTTGTTAGATAGTTTGAGAGATGTGAGATTAGGGTGTGTTTTTGAGATGGAGAATAGGGGTTAGAGGGGGGGGATAAATTTTTATTTTTAGATAGGGGAGGTGGTGGGTAGGTTTTTGTTTTGGTTTGGGGAGGTGGTAGGGGGGGGATGGTGATAGGGTGGGAGTTTGGGATTTAGGGGTGGGTATTTGGGAAAGTTGGTATTGGGGGTAAAGGGGGGTGTGGAGGGGTGGGGGGTTTTTTGGGGTTGTTGTGGGGGCGGGTGTTTGTAGGTGGTGATTTTTGGGTGTTTTTGTGGGGTGTGTTTGGGTTTTTTGTGTGGGGGGTGGGTGATTTGGGGTAGGGTTTAAAGGAGTGTTGTAGGGTTTTTTTTGTTGGTGTTTGTGGGGGTGTTTTGTTTTTGGTTGGGTTTTTTTTGGGTGTTTGTTGGGTGTTTTGGTTGTTTGGGGTGGGTTTTTTTTGGTGGTTTGTTGTATTGGGTTGTGGGGGGGGGGTATTTTTTTTGTTGTTTTTTTGGGTGGTGTTGTGTTTGGGTGTTGTTGGGTTGGTGGTTTTTTGGGGTGTGTTTGTGATGGGTGTGTTGTTGGTTTGTTTTTGTGATTTGTGGGTTGTGTTGTGGTGTGGGGTTTGGTTTTTGGGGGTTTGTTGTTTGGTTGTTGTTGGTTGTGTGGTTGGTTGTTGGGGTTTTTGTTTGTTTTTTGTTTTAGTGTTTTTGGTGTTTGGTGTTTTTGGGTTTGTGTTGTTTTTTTGGTTTGTGGGTTGTGTGTTTGATGGTGTTTTTGGGTGGGGTTGGTTTTTTTGTGTTGATGTGGGGGGGGTTGTTTTGTGGTTGGGGTGGGTTGGGATGTGTGTGGTATTTGGGGGGATGTGGGGTGGGGTTGTTGTGTATTGTTTGTTTGTTGTTGGGTGGGGGTTGGGGTTTGGTTTGTGTGGGTTTTATGTATGGGGGGTTTGGTTTGTTGGTTGGGTGGTGTGTTGGGGTTGGGGTTGGTAGGGGTTGTTGTTTGTGGTTGTGGGTGGTGTGGGTGTGTTGGATTTGTTGTGGTGTGTGGTTGTGTGTGTGGTGGTTTGTGGGGTTTGGTGGGGTTTAGTTGTGTGGGTGTGGGTTTGGGGGTTTTGGGGTTTTGGTTTTGGGGGTGGGAGGATTTGGGGATTTTTGTTTAGTTGATTTTTTGGAGGGTTTTGGTATGTGTGTTTGTTTGGTAGATTGTGATGGGGTTGTTTTTTGGGGGGTTTTTGTATTGTGTGGTGGTGGGGGGGGGGTGGGTGGTTGATGGGTGGGGTGGGTTTTTGGGGGTGGGTGGGTTGTGGTGTTGGTGGTTGTGTTTGGTTGGTTGTTTTTGTTGTGTTGGGGGTTGTTGTTTGGAGTTTGGGGGTGGGTGTGTTTTGGGGTTGGGTTGGTGTGTGGTTTGTTTTGGGGTGGTTTGGTTTGTTGTTGGGGTTTTATTGTGTTGGGGGTTGGTTGGGTGTTGGATGGGGGTTGGTGGGGGGTGGGGGTGAGTTAGGGGGATGTGGTTGGGAATGTGGTTGGGAGTGAATTGGATTGTTTTTGGTGGGTATTGGTGGTGTTTGTATGGGGGGGAATTTGGTTGGATTTTGGGGGGTTGATTTGGGGGAAGGGGGTTGGGGTGGGGGGATATGGATTTTGTTTGGGGGGTTGGGATGTGTTTGTTTGTTTGTGGTGTGGGTGGGGGGTTGGGGTTTTGGGTGGTTTGTTTGGAGTAGGTGGGGGGTGGTTGGGGGGGGGGGGGGAGGTTTGTTTTGTTGGGGGGGGGGGGTTTTTTTTGTTTGGGGTGGTGGGTGTGTTGGGGGGGTTTTTGTGGGTTTTTGGTGGTTTTTTATGTTGTGGTTGGGTGGTTGTGGTGTGTTGTTGGGGTTTTGGGGGGTTGGGGGGGGTGGGGTGTATATGATTGATATTATATGTTGAGATGTGTATTTGTTGGATTGGGTTGGTGTATTAGGTGGGATGGGTTGTATTTAAAATTGATATTGAGGATATGGAGGGGGTAGGGAAGGATGTGTGTATATTTTTGTTTGTAGGGGGAGGAAGGAGGATTTGGGGTGTTTGGTGGTGGGTAGGTTTGTTTGGAGGATTTGGGGGGTGTTTGAGATATTTGGGGTGTGGTGGGGTTTTTGTTGTTAATTATTTGGGGGAAATGGGGGGTTTTTTGTGTTGGGGGGGGAGGGAGTTTATGGGATGGGGGTGGGTGGGGATTTGGGTGTTGTAGGTGTTTATTTGGTGGGGGGTGGATGGTGGGGGGTTAGGGGTTTGTTGGTATTGTTGTGATTTTTGGTTGTTGTGTTTTTGGTTTGGGGTGGGGGTGGGGGTATTTGTTTGTATTTGGGTTTGTGTGGGGGTTGTTGGGGAGGGGTGTTTTTTGGGTGTTTGTATTTGTGATGTTGTGTTTGGTTTTTTGTGTGGTTTGGGTTGGGGGGTTGTTTTTTGTGGGAGGGGGAGGTGTTGTTGGATGTTTTTGGGGGTGGGGTTTTTTTGTTTTGGGGTGTGGGGGGGGTGGGGTAGGGGGGTGGGTGGGTTGTGTGTGGTGGAGGGGTGAATATGGAGGATTGGGAGTGATTGGGGTTGTTTGGGTGGGGTTGTGGGTGGTGGGTTTTTGGTGGGGTGTATGGGAGGGGTGTTGTTTTTTTTGTTTGGGGGTTTTGTGTTGGGGTTTTATTGTTTGTGTGATGGGGGTGGGGGGGTTTTGTGGGTTGGGGTGAGGGATGGGGAGGGGGATTTGGGGGGGGTTGGGGGAGGTAATTGGTATATTATATTTGATTTTGGGTGAAGGGTTTTGGGGGATGTGGGGGGGGTTGGGTTAATTTAGAAGGAGGGGAGGTTAATTGGAGAGTTATTGTGGTGAGTGTGGAGGATATTGGGTAGGGGGATGTGGAAGGGGGATTGGAGTGTTTGGGGGGATTATTTTTGTGATATATGTATGTGGTAGTTTATTTTGTATTTTATAGGGGGGTGGATAGGTGGTTGATATGTTTGGGTGTGGGTTTTTGGTAATGGGGGGGGTGGGGGGATGTGATTGGGTTGGTATTGTTTGGGTGTGGGGGTGTTATGTGATGGGGGGGTAGTGGGAAGGGTGGATTTTGTTTTTGTGTTTTTGTTGGGGGGGTGTTTGGGTGTTTTGTTTTGTTTGATTGGTGGGGGGTGGATTGTTTGTTTGGGGGTTGTGGTTGTTTTTTTGTGGTTTGTGGGGGGTTGTTTTGTAGGGGTTTGAGGGGGTGTTGTTGTTTTGGGGTTGGTTTATTTTGGGGGGGTGGGGGTTGGGGGTTTGGGGTGGTTTGGTGGGGGTGGTGGGGGGGGAGTGGTTTGTTGGTGGTTGGTGGGGGTGGTGTTTGTGGGTTTGGGTTGTGTTGGGGGGTTGGGTTGTTTAGGGGGTGGTTTAGGGGGGGGGGGGGTGTGGGGGGTTGTGTGGTTGGTGGGTTTGGGATGGGTGTTGGGTGGGTTTGGGGGGTGGGGGGGTGGAGGTTGGTGTTGGTTTTGGGTGGTGGTGGGGGGTGTTTGTGGTTTGGTGTGGGGGTGTTGGGTTTGGTGGGTGGGGGGGTGGGGTGGGTGGTGTGTGTTTGGTTTGTGTGTTTTGGGATGGGGTGTGTTTTTTTTGTTATTAGGGGGGTGTTGTTGTGGTGGGGTGGGGGGGTTTTGGGTTGGTTTGGTGTGGTGGGGTTTTTTAGGGGGGGGGGGTGTGTTTTTTGGGGGGGGGGGTTGGTTTTTTTTTTTTTTATGTTTTTTGAGTGTGTTGGGGAGGTGGTGATTTTTTTGGGGGTTTGTGTTGTTTATTGTGGTTTGTGTGGGTTGTGGGTTGGTTTTTTTGTGTTTGGGGGGGGGGGTTGGTTTTTTTGGGGGTTGTGGGTGGGTTTGTGGGGTTGGGGGGTTTGGTTGGGTGGGTTTGGTGGGTGGGGGGTGGTTGGTGGTGGGGGGGGTTGAGTTTGTTTTGGGGGTGGGGGTTTGTGTGGGGGGGTGTGGGGGTGGGGGGGTGTGTTAGGTGTGGATTGGTGGTTGTTTTTTTGGTGGTGTGGGGGTTTTGGGTTGTGAGGTTTGTATGAGGGGGGTAGGTGGTTGGGGGGTGGGGTTGGGTTTGGGGTTTTGGGGGGTGGTGTTGTGTTTGGGGGGGGGTGGGGGGGGGGGGTGTTTTGGGGGTGGGGGGGGGGGGGGTGGTGGGGTGGGGGGTGGGGGGGGGGGATGTAAGGGGATTTTTGTTGGTGGTTTTTGGGTGGGTTGGGTGGTTGAGGGGGTTTTTTGGGGGGGGTTTGGTGTTTTGATGTTGGTGTGTTTGGATGTTGTATGTTGGGTTTGGGGGGGGTGGTGGTTTGTGTGGTGTTTTATTTGTGGGGTGGGGTGTTGTTGTTTGTGGGGGTTTTGGTGGGTGGGTGTGGTGTGGGGGTGGGGGTGTGGGGGTGAAGGTTTGTGGGTTTGTTTGGTTGGGTGGTGGTGGGTGGTTGTTTGTTTTGGTTGGGGGTGTGGTGGTGTTGGGTGGGGGGTGGTGGGGTTTTTTGGTTGTGGTGTTGGTTTGGATTATTTTTTATGGGGTATGTGTTTGGGGGGGGGGTTGTTTTGGGTTTGTGGGGAGGGTTTGGTGGTGGTTTGGGTGTTGGGGTTGTGTTTTTGTGGGGGGGGGTGGGGGTTGTTGGGTTGGGGTTGGGGGTTTTGTGGGGGGGTTTTGGGGGTTGTTGTGGGGGGTTGGGGGTGTTTTTGGGGGTTGGTTGGTGTGGGGGGTAGGTTTTTTTTTGGGTTGGGTTTGGTGGGGTTGGAGGGGGGTGGTGTTTGGGATGGGGTGGTTGGGGGGGGGTGGTATTTGGGGGGGGGTTTGTGTTTTGTGGGTTGGGGGTTAGTTGGGGGTTTTTTGAATTTATGGGGTGGTGGTGTATGGTGTATGGGGGGTGGTTATGGGAGTTTTTTATGGGGGTTTGGTGAATGGAATTATGTGGATGATATGGGATGTGTTATGGGTTTGGGTTGGTAGAGGGGTGGGATAAGGGGGGGTGGGATAGTGGGGGGGGTTTGTGGTTTTTGTGGGGTAGGGGATAATTGGTTTATATATTATAGAGGTTGGTGATTTTTTATGGTTGGGGTGGGTGGAAGGGATTGTGGATTGGGGGTGGGGGTTGGGGGGGGTAAGAAGAGAGGGGGAGGGAGGGGGTGTTGGGTAGGTTTTGGTGTGTGGTGGATGTATGGGGAATGTGGTGGAGTGATTTGATAGGATGTAGTTTTGTGAATTTATATTAATAATTGATGGGGGTTGGATGTTTTAGTGTTAGGTTTTATATTGTTTTATTTGGGGGTAAGGGAAGTAGATGGGAGTGGGAGGAGGGGGGGGGGGAGAGGGGGGAGGAATTGGGGAGTGGTAAGAGGGGAGATAAGGGGAGGGTGGGGGAGGGAGGGTAGTGTGGTTTTGGTTTGGTTTGGAAGAGGGGGGGGGAGGGAGGGGGGGGAGTGATGGTGGGGGGGGAGAGGGGAAGGGGAGTGGGGGGAATAGAGAGTGAAATGTAGGATGGGAGGGATAGGTGAGGGATGTAGGGGGTAGTTGGTTGTTTGGGGTTTTATGGGGGGGGGTTTGTAGTTGAGGGGGGTTTTTTGTGATTTTGGGGGTAGGTTATTGTGGGGTTGGGTGTTTTGGGGGTGGGTTTTTTTTTTGGGTGGGTGTGTTGTTGGGGGTTTTTTTTATTGGGGGGATTTTTTTTATTGAGGAATGTGGTAGGGGGGGAGAGGGTTTGAATTTAGGTAGTTGGGGGAATTTGTTTGATTGGTGTTTAGGTTGGGGTTTGGGTTGGTGTTGGTTGTATGGTGTATTTTGGGGTTTGGGGGGAAGGGGTGGAGAGGTAGGGTTTTGGATGGATTTGGATTATATGTGTATGGATATGGAAGGAGGGGTTATATTAATTTAATTGGGGTTTATGGGAAAGGGGTATTGTTTTGGTTGTGTTTGATGGTGGGTAGTTGGGGATATTTTGTTTATTTTTGGGTGGGTTTATTTTTGGTTGTTGATTTTATTGGTGTAGGGGAATTGAGTTTTGGGGTTAGGTAGGATTGTTGGTGGGAGTTATGGGGGGGGGAGTATGGGGGGTGTATGGTGTGAGTTGTTGGATTATTGTGGGGGTTTAGTTTTGGGGATGTTGGTGGTGGTGGGGGTGTATTAGGGGTTTTTTTGGGTGGTGTTGTTGTTGGGTTTTGGTTATGTTGGGGGTGTAGGTGTTGGTGATGGTAAAGTAGTTGTTGTGGTGATTGGGTGTGTGGTGTTTGTTTGGGGGTTTGGGGGGGGTGGTGGGGGGTTGGGATGTTGGGTGGGGGGGGTTTGGTGTTTGTTGGGGGGTTGGTTTGTTTGGGGGGGTGTGTTTTATAGGGTGATGGATGTTTTGGGGGTGTTTAGGGGGAGGAGGGGGAGGTTGTGGGGGATGGGGGGGGTTTGTGGGGTGGATAGGGTAAGGGGGGGGGGTGGGATATTGGGGGGGTTGTTGTGGTGTTGGTGGGGGGGGGGTTGGGGGGGGGGGGGGGGGGGGGGGGGGGGGGGGGTGGGGTTTGTGGGGGGTGGGGGGTGGGGTGGGGGGGTTGGGGGGGGTTTGGTTTGTGTGGTTGTTTTGAGGGGGGTGGGTTTTGGGTGTTGTTGGGGTTTTAGTGGGGGGTTTTGTTGGGGGGGGTGTTGGGTGTTTTGAAGTTTTTTTTTGTGTTGTTGGGGGGGGGTGTTGGGGGGGGTGTTTTATAGGTTGGGTTTTGGTTTGATGGTTGGTTTGTGGGGGGTGGGGGGTGGGGGTTGGTGTGATTGTTATTTTGTTGGATTTTGGGGGGTGGTGGAGGGTTGTTGGGGTTGTGTGTGTGGGGTGGGGGGTTGGGGGGGGGGGTTTGGGGTTTTGAGTGGGGGGGTTTGTGTGTGGGGGTGTGGTTGGTGGTATGTGTTGTTGGATTGGGTTGGTGGGGGTGATGGTGGTGGGTGGGTGTGGGGGGGGGGTGGGGTGTGTGGGGGTGGGGGGTGGGTGGGGTTGGGGTGTGTTGGTGGTTGGGGTGGTTGTTTGAGGTGGTTTTTGGTAGGGGGTGGTATGGGTTGTTGGTAGTGTGGGTTGGGGGGAGATTTGGTTTGTTAGGGTATGGGAAATGGAGGGGTGGGGGGGGTATTGGTTGGTAGTTTTTGGATTGGGATTTGGTGTGGGATTTGGAGTTTTGTTGAAGAGTGTGGTGTGGGTTAGGGGGGGAATTGGGATGGGGGATTATATTTGTTGTTTGTTATTTTTATGGTGGAGAAATTGGGGGTTGGGGGGTTGTTTTTGTGGGGTTTTGTTTGGGGTTTAGTTGTTTGGGGTTAGTTGTGTGGGGGGAGGGGGAAGTTGTTTGGGAATTTTGTATTATTGGGGGGGAGGGGTAATGAGGGGTGGGATGTGATAGAGGGTGGGGGGGTTTATTTTGTTGGTTATTTGGTGTTGTTTTTGTGTGGGGTTTTTTTTGTGTTTTGGGTTATAGTGTTGGTTGATTATGGTTATGTGTTGGATGGGGGATGGGGGTGTGGTTGTATTGTAAGATTTGTTGGTGGGGGTAATGTGTTGTGTTTGTTAGGAAGAGGTTTTTAGGGTGTTTTTGGTTTGTTATGGTGAGGTTGGTTGGTTTGTTGGTTAGGTGATTAGGGGTATGTTTTTTGAGGGGATGATGGGAAGTGGATGTGGGGTATTTTATGGATGAGGGTAGGGGGGGGAGGTTTTTTTTTTTGTGGGAGGGATGTGGGGGGGTTGGGGGGGGGTTGTGTATATATGGAATGGGGGGGGGGGGGGGGAGTTGGGTGGTGGTAATATGGGAGTTGGGTAGGGGGGGTTTTTTTATTAGGGGTAGGTGTTGGAGTTGTAGTTTTTTGGTGAGGTTGGTGATGATTGGGGGGGGTTTGGGGTGTATTTGTTTGGGTGATTGGGGATTAGTTATGGAATGTGGGATTTGAGGAGGGGTATAATATGAAATTGAGAGAGGGGGGGGGGGGTGGGGGGTGGAGGGGGAGGGGGTGATGGTTTGTATTGATTAGGTTGGATGGGGATTTTTAATGGAGGGTGGTGGGTAGGGTGGTATTGGGGGGGAGTTGAAGGGAGGGTAGGTTATTTGGTTTTGGGGGGTTTATAGGGGGGGGGGGTGATTATTGAGATTGGGGGGGGTAGTTGGGTAGAATTTGTGGAATTGTTTTGTGAAAATAATAATGAAGGTTAAGGTGTATTGGATGTGGGGGGATTGAGGAGGGGGTGGTAGATTTGGAGTAAGTAATGAAGGGTTGGGGATGGGAGGTTTTGGTGGTGGTAGATGATTTATGGGATTTGGGAATTGAGGAGTGGATAGTGGGTATGGGGTAAGTGGGGGTTGGGGGTTTTATTGGGGGAGGGGGGGGGGTGGTATGGTGGGGGGATAAATGGGGGGGGGAGGAGAGGAGGGGGTATGAGAGGATGTGGGTTTTTGGAGGGGTTTTGTGTGGTGTGTTTTTTGGGGTGTTTGGGTGGGGGGGTGGAGTGTAGTTTTGTTTGATGTGGAGGATGTAGGTTGGGGAAGGGGTGATAGGGTGTGGGGAGAGGGGGATGTATGAGGGTTTGATGTTGTGGGGGGGGGGGTTGGGGATGGTTGATTGGGGGAAGGTTTGTAGATGTAATAAAGAGGGGATAGTTATTAAGTGGGGAAGAGGGATTTGATAGGTATGGTTTGGTGAGGGAGGAGAATGGAGTGAGGGGGGGGTAATGATGATTGAGAGGTATGGAATATGAAGTTTGGATTGGTGGGGGAGGATTGGGTGGGGGGAGGTGTTGTTGGGGGTGTTTGTGGGGTGATGGGTAAGATGTTTGGGGGGAAGGGTGGTGTGAAAGTGGGTTAGTATATTGTGTATTATGGGGGGGGGGTTGTTTTATGTGGGATAGGTTGGGGGATTTAAATTGGGGGGGGGATGGGTAGAATGTAGGGGGTTTTATATGTGGATGGGATATTATTAGGGGTTTGGTGGGGTATTGATTGTTTGGTTTTTTTTGGAATTTGGGGGGTGGGGTGTTTAATGTGTTATGGTGTGGGTGGGGGGAGGGTGGGGGGTTTTGTGTGGTTTGGTTGGGGTTTGGGTTTTTTTATATATTAGAATGAGAAGGATGTTAGGAGGGAGGTGGGGGGGGAAGTTATTGATTGTTTTGGTGGTTTGGGGGGTTGTTGGTTTTTTATGGTTGTTTTGTTGGTGGTTGGTATGTATTGGGGGATTTGTGGGGGGTGATGGGTGGGTATTTTGTTGGGGGGGTTGGGATTTTTTTTTTTGGTATTTGAGTTTGGGTTTTGTTGTGGGATATGTTTTGGTGGTGGTGGTTGTGGGGTTGGTGTGTTTGGGGGGGTAGATGAATGGGAGTTGGAGGGGGATGGGATGGTGGAATTTATGTTGTGGAGGTGGAGTAATGTAAGGGTTTTATTTTATGGTGGGATGTGGGTGTGGTTGTGTTTTGTGATGGATGGGGGTGGGTTTTTGGTTTGTGGGTGGTGGTTTTTGTTGGTTGTGGGTGGGGGTTTGGAGTTTTGTTTGGTTTTGGGGGGTGTTGGGTGTGGGGTGGGGGGTGGGTGTTGGGGTGTTTTGGGGGTGGGGGTTGTGGGTGGTGGGGGTGTTGGTGGGGTGTGGTTGTTTATATTAGTGATTGGGATGTTTTTTTTGATATGGTTTTGGGTTTTTGTAGGGTTGTTTTTTATGGGGATAGTTGAGTAGGGGGATTATTTGGATTGGTGGGGTTTGTTGGAGAGGTGTTATGTTGATGGTTTGTAGGTTGGGGGTAGTTGGGGTGATGTTGAATGGAGTGGGATGGTAAGTTTGATGTGGTTTTGATTGTGGTTTTTTAGAGAGATTATATATTTTTAGGGTGGTGGTGTTTTTTTGTGGGGGTAGTTGTGTGGGGTAGAGTGGTGGTTGGGTGTGTTGATTGGGGTTGTTTGTGTGGGTTTTGAGTGTTTTGTGTTGGGTGTTGTGTTGTTTGGGTTGTTGTGTTTGTGTGGTTGGGGGTGGTTGTGGGTGGGGGGAGGGGGTTGGGGGTGTTTGTGGGTTGGGGGGGTGGGTGGTGGGGGGGGGGGGTGGGGGGGGGGGGGGTTTGTGTTTGGGGGGGGGGGGTGTGGGGGGGGGGGGGGTTGTTGGTTGGGGGGGGTGGGGGTTTGTTTTGGGGGTGGGGGGTTGTGGGTTTGTGGTTGGTAGTGGTTGGGTGAGATTTTGTTTTGAGGTTTGGGGTTTGGTGTTTGTGTTTTGGTGGTGGGTTGTGGGGTGTGTTGGGTGTGGTGGGTTTGGTTGGGGGGGGGGGGGGGGTTGGGGTTGTTGGTGTTTGTTGGGTTGGTGTTTGTTGGGGTTGGGTTTTTTGGGTTGGATGTTTTGTTGAAGGGGTGTTATGGGGGGGGTTGTTATGGGTGGAGGGGGTTTGAATGTTTTGGGTTGTGGGGGGGTTTGTGGTGTGGGGGGGGGGGGGGGGGGGGGGGGGGGGGGGGGTTGGTTTTTTTGGTGGGGGGGGGTGTTTAGGTTTTGTGGTGTTTTTTGAGGATGTGGGGGTTGTTGGGTTGGGGGGTTTTTGGGGGGGGGGGTGGGGTTGTGGTTTTGGGTTTGGGGGGGGGGGGTTTTGTTTTATTGTTGTTTTGGGGGTTGGAGGGGGGGTTTTGATGTTTTAGTGTGAGTGTGGGGGGTTTTTTTTATTTGTATAGTGTTGGGGGTAGGGGGGGGTGGATGGGGATAGGGGGGTTGGGAAGGGGTGTTTGGGGGGGGTGGGTTTTGTGAGGTTGTGGTTGGGGGGTGGTGTTGTGTGGGGGTTTGTGGGTGTGTGTTTTATTTGGGGGTTTTGGTTGTTATGATTTGGGGGTTGTGGTTTTTTGGGGTTGTGGGAGGATGGGGTTTGGTGTGTATTTGTATTATTTTGGGTGGGTTTTGGTGTTGGTGTTTGGGGGGGGTGTTGGTTGGTTGTTTTGTGTTGTTTGTTGTTGGTTTGGGGGTTGGTTTGTGTTTGTTGGTGGTGTGGGGTTGTTTTGTGGTTTGGGTGTTTTTTGGGGGGTTGGGTTGGGTTTGGGGGTGGGGGGTGTTGGTTGTTTTGGTTGGGGGGTTTTTGGTGGGTGTAGTTTTGGGTTTGTTATTAATGATGTGTTGTGTGGTGGTTTTTGGTGTGGGTTGGTATTTGGTTTGGGGTTGTTGGGGTTTTGGTGGGTGGTGTTTTGTGTTGTGTGGGTTATTGGGGTGGTTTGTGTGGGGTGTTGGGGGTGTGTGGTTGTGGTGGGGTGGTGTGGGGGTGGGTGTGTGTTTGGGTTTGTTTTGTTTTGTTGGTGTTGTGGGTGGGTGGGGGTTTTGGTTTTGGTGTTTGGTGTTTGGGTTTGGGGTTTGGGTTGGTTGGGTTGTGGGTGGGTGTGTTTGGTGGGTGTGGGGGGGGTGTTTGTGTGGGGGTTGTTGGTTTTGGGTGTGGAGTTTGGGGGGGGGGGTGGGTGGTTTTGGTGTATTGGTGTTTTTGGTGTTGGGGGGGGTGTTATTTTGTGGGGGTTTGGGGTGGGGTGGTGTTTTGTGGGTTTTTGTTGGGGGGTGGGGTGTGGGGTGTTTGGTGGGGGGGGGTGGGTGGGGTGGGTGTTGGTGTTGTTGTGGTTTGGGTTGTGTTGGGTTTGGTGGGGGGGTTTGGGGGGGGGGGTGGTGGGGGGGGGGGGTGGGTTGGGTGTGGGGTGTGGGGGGTGGTGTGGGTGGTTGGGTGTGGTTGTGGTTGGTTGGGGGGGTGTGGGTTTTGTTGTGTGTGGGGGTATTGAGGTTGTTTTGGGGGTTGTTTGGTGGGGTTTGGGGTTGGGGTGTGTGGTGTTTTTTGGTTGTTGGTGGGGTGGTGGGGTTGTTTGTGTTGTTGATGGGGGTTTTGTGTGGTGGTGTTGTTGGGGGGGGGGGGGGGTTTTTGGGGTTGGTGTTGGTGGTGTGGGTGGTTGTTGGGTGGTGTGGGGGGGGGGTGGGGGGGAGGTGGTGGGTTGTGGGGGGTTTTGGTGGTGGGGGGTGGTGGTGGGGTGGGGTGGTGTGTTGGGTTGGGGTTTGGGTGTTGGGTTGGTGGTTGGGGGGGGGGGGGTTGGGTGTGGTGGGGGTGGTGTGTGGGGGGGGTGTTGGTTGGGGTGGTGTGGGTGTTTGTTTGTGTTGTGTTGTTTAGGGGGGGGTGTGGGGGTTTTTTGGGTGTGGGTTGTGGGTGGTTTGGGGTGGTGTGTGTGGGTGGGTGGGGGGGTTTATTTGGGGGGTGTGGTGGGGTGGGGGGGGGTGGGGGGGGGGGTTGGTGGTGGGGGGGGGTGTGTTGGGTTGTGTTTGTGGTTGTGGTTGGTGGGTGGGGTTTGTGGGGGGGGGTTTGGTTTTGGGGTTTTTTTGGTTGGTTTTTTGGTGGGTTTGGGGGGGTTGGTTGGTTTGGTGTTGTGGTTTGGTTGGTTTTTGTTGTTTTGGGGGTTTGGGGGTGGGGTGTTGGGGGTGGGAGTGTGGTTTGTTTTGTAGTTGGGTTTGTTTGTTGGTTTTTATGGGGGGGTTTTTTTTTATATAGTTTGTGGGATATTGTGTGTGAGATATGTATGTGGTTGGAATGGGGGTAGTATTTGTATTGGGGTTATGTAGGGGTGAGGGGGGGGGTTGATGAAAGTTGTTTGTTTTGTAGGGTTTTGTGATTGGTGGGTTTGATTTGTGTTTTTGTTGAGTGTGGGGGTTGTTATTGGTTGTTTGTTTGGTATAGGTGAGTTTTTTTATGTGTGGGTAGTAGGGAGGTGGAGGTTTTGATGAAGATGTTGATGTGTATTTGGGGTTTATGAGATTAGGAGGGGAGGGTGGAAATTTTTGGGGGGGAGGGGGTGGTTGGGTGGATATTGTGGTGGGTTATTTTTGGGTTATGTTATTTTTGGGTTTAGGAATTTAATATGGGGGTGGTATGTAGGGGTAGGGAAGAGTATTGTATTGTTTTGATTGTATTGGGTGGAGGGGTGTTAAAGTGGGATATTATTGATGAGATTGGGTAGGTTATTTTTAATGGGTTTGATAATGATATTGATGGTGGTTGATTGGGGGTTTTATATGGGTTTTAGTGTTTGGATATTTATGGTTTTTTGGGGGAATGTTATGGGGGGGGGGTTTGGGGGAGTTTGGGAAGTGATGATAGATGGGAAGGAGGGGGGGGTAGTTAGGGGGGTATTTAGGTATTTTTTATATAAGATAAGATGTGGTATAGGTTTTTGAGGTTTTTTATGTTTATATTTTGGGGGTTTTTGGGTTTTTTTGGTGATATTAAGAAGGGTAGTAGAGTTGTGAGTGTAAGTTTGATGAGTATGGTGGTGAAATGGGAGGGGGGGGGGGGGAGGATAGATGGATAAGGGGAATTGATAAGGAGGAGGGGTTTTTGTGGTATGTGTGAGGGGAATATTGGGGGGATGGGTTTGTTTGGGTAGTGTATTTGTTAGGGTTTATGATTTGATTTTGTGTGGGATTTTTGGTGTATATTGTGATGTGGGTAAGTGGGGGGTATGGGTTGTAAGTGGTAAGGGGAGGGATTGGGGGGGGTTTTGTGGGGGGTGGGGGTTTGGTTGGTTAGGGGTGTTGGGTGAGAGGGAAGGGATTTTGGTTTTGGGGTTTTGGTGGAGGGGGGGGTGATTGGGAAGGATGGGTTGGTGTGGGGGGGGAGGGGTTGAGGGGGATTTGGTGGGTATGTTTGTATATGTGTATGTGGGGGGTGTTGGGGTTGAGGTGGTTGGTTTGGGGGGATGGTTAGGTTGTGTGAGTTGGGGGTTTTATATGAGGTGGATAAGATAGGTAGTTTTATGTTTTTGTGTATGTGGGTTGGGGGGGGATTTTTGGGGGGGGATGGTTTATTGGTGGTGGTTTTGAGGGAGGGTTGGTGTTTTGTTGTGTGGGGGGTGGGTTTGTGGGTGTTGGTTTGGGTGTGGGGGTGTTTTTTAGGGTAGTTTGTTGTTAGTGTGGAATATGTGGTGGGGTAAAAATGAGAGGGTATGAGATGGTTAATAGGAAGGAGGGGAGAATAGGGGAGGGATAAAGTTATAATTATTTAATATGTAGTATTGTATAAATTATTTAATATTATTATGGTATGGGTATGGGTATGTGTAAGTATGTTAATATGGGAGGGGGGTGTAAAGGTGATGTTTATAGGGGGGTGATGTTAATGTGTATATAGTTAGTTGTATAGAGGTGAGGTTATGGGAATGGGGGGGGGTGTGGGGGGGGTTGGTAAGTTATGTTAGTTGGGGATGATGGATGTTTTTTGGAGGGGGGGGGGGTGTGGTTAGGGTGTGGGGGTGTTTGTTGTAGGGGGATTGGGAAGGTGTAGTGAGTTGGGATGGTTGTGTTGGTTTTTTTTTGTGGTGATTTTGGATTGAAGGTTGTGGTTTTTGATTATGTAGGGGGTGGGAGTTGGATGTGGGGGGGGGGGGTTTGGGGGGAATTTGTTTTGAGGGGTTGAGGAGTATTATGTGGGGAGTTTTGTTTGGGGGGAATGTTATTGTGGTTGTTTGGGTAGGGGGGGTGTTGTAGGTGTGGTGGGGGGGGGGGGGGGTTGTTAGGGTTTATGGGAGGGGGGATAGTTTTGGGGGGATGTTTTAATGGGGGTTGTATGGTTGTATGATATTTGGGGATGGGGGTTGTTTGGGGTGGGTTTTTGTGTGTTTGGGGGGGTTAGGTTTTTGGTTGTTTTGGTGTTTTGGGTTTTGGGTGGATTGATTTTGTTGGTGGTTTGGTTGGTTTGGGTGGGTTGTTGTTGGTGTGGTTGTATTTGGGGGTGTGGTTTTTTTTGGGGGTGGGTGGGGGTGGGGTTGTGGGGTGTGTGTGGGGTGGGGGTTGGTGGTTGTTTGTGTGGGGTGGGTTTGGTTGTTTGGGAGGGGTGTTGTGTTTGGTTGGGTTGTGTTTGGTGGTTGGGTGGGTTGGGGTGTTGGGTGGTGGAGTGGGGGGTGTTGGGGGTGTTGTGGGGTGGAGGGTTTAGTGGGGGTGGTTGGGGGGGGTGTGGTGGTGGTTGTGTGTGTTGGTGTTGGGGTGTTGTTGTTGTTTGGGGGGGGGGATGTGTTGTTTGGTTTTTGATTTAGATGTTTTTGTTTTGTTTGGATTGGGTGGTGTATGTGAGATTTGGGTTGTGTAAGAATGATATAGGAAGTAGGGGGGTATGGTTGGGAAGGTTTGTGTTTTGATTGGGGGGGGGGTTTGGGTATGAGGTGGATTTGGTGTGTTGGGGTGGGTTGGTTATTTTTGGAGGTTTTTGGGTGTTGAATTTGGTATTAGGTGGATGTTATGGATTGTATATTGGTGTGGGTTAGTATTTATGTTATGTTGTTTTTTTGTTGGATTTTTGATTTAGAGTTAGGTTTTTTTATGGTATTTGGGATTGAGGGTAGGTGTAGGGATTATTGTGGATTGGTTTTTTTTGTTTATTATTTTGTTGTTGATTGGGGGTTTGGTGGTGGTTTTTGTTGTGTGATTTTGGTGTTGGGTGTGTGGTTTTGGGGGGGGGGGGTTGGTTTTTTTGTTTTTTTTGTTGGTTGGTGGTGGTTGGGTGGGTTTGATTTTGGGTATTGGATGGGGTAATTGGTATTGTGATTTGATGGGGTTATTTGGTGGTTTTGGATTTGAATTGGGGGATTATTTGATGGATTTGGGGGGGTTGAATTGGGGAATTTGGGGATATGATTTGTTTTTGGGGGGGGGGGGGGAAGGGGAGATGATTGATATTTGAAGTAGGGGGTTATGGGAGGGGATATTGGGGGGGGGGTATGGGGAGTGATTGGGGTTGGTGTGGTGGGGGGGGGTGTTGGGGGGTGGTTTTTTTGTTTTGGGGGGGGGGGGGGGGGGGGGGTGGTTTTGTGTGTGGGGTGTGTTGGGGTTGTTTGTAAATGTTGGTTGTTATTTGGGTTTTGGTGTTGTGTGGGTGGTTTGGTTTGTTTGTTTGGGGGGTGGTGGGTGATGTGTTTTTTTTTATTGTTATTTGTGTTTTGTATTGGTTTTTTGGTTTTTGGTTTTTGTTTTAGTTGTGGTTATATGTTTTTGTTGGGGTGGTTGGGTGGTGGTTTGGGTATTTTTGTTGGGTTTTGGTTGGTGGGGTGGGTTTGGGGTGTGTTGGGGGTGGGGGTGGGTTTGGTGGGGTGGGGTGGGGTTGTGTGTTGTGGGGTGGGTGTGGGTGTTTGTGGTGTGTTTTGGGTTTGTGTTGTATGTGGGTTTTGGTTTTTTTGTTTGGGTGTTGGTGGGTTGTGGTTTTTGGGTTTTTTTGTTGGTTTGTTTTGGGTGGGGGGTTTTGGGGTTGGGGGGGGTTGTGTGGGGGGGTGGTTTTGTTTGGTGTTTTTGGGGGGGGGGTGGGTGGTGGGGGTGGGGGGTATTTTTTGAATGGTTTGGGAGGGTGGGGGGTATGTGTGTTGTGGATGAGGGGTGTTGGGGGTGGGGGTATTATGTATGTGATTGTGGGTGGGTGTTTTATGTGTTGGGGGGTGGGTTTGGGGGGTTAGTTATGTTATTTTGGGGGATGGGGTTGAGGGGGATTTATGTTTAGGGGGAGGGTGTGGTGTGGATTTTGTAGATGGGGGGGGGGTGGGGGGGGGGGGGGGGAGTTAGTTTGTGAGGTGGGGGGAGTGGGGGGATATTGGGGAGTTTTGGGGATTTGGGTGATGTGGAATGGTTTGGGGGGGTTTTTTTTGTATGTGGGGTGTGTTGGGGTTAGGTTGGTTATTGGGTTGTGGGTTTGGTATTAATGAGTTAAGGAGTTATAATAGATAATAAGGTGGGTGAGGTGGGGGGTTGGTTTTGTGGTTTAAATAGGGTAATTTTAAAAATAGGGGTTTGTGATTGGAGTGGAGATATAGATGTTGTGATAAGGAAGAAGGGGGGGTAGATAAGAGATTGGATGGTGGAGGGGGGGATGTCTAATTTTGTGGTTTTTGTGGTTTGTGTGTTTTAAGTATTAATGGTTTGGGGGGTTGGGGTTTTGGGGGTGGATGGGTGGGGATGTAGGTATGTAATGTGTGTGAGATTTTTGTATGATATTGTTTATGTTGTTGTTGGGGTGGGGGGAGGGATGTTTAAGGGTATGTAGTGGTATTATATTATTGAGGGGTGTTGGTTGGGGGTTGGGTGGGTGTTGGTAGGGGTGATTGGGGTGAATGGGTGGGGGGGGGGGGGAAGGGGGGGATATTGGGGGGTTGTTGGGGGTGTTTGTGGTGGTATTTTTGTGTTGGGGGATGGTGTTTTTTTTTTTGAGGGGGGGATTTGGTGTGGTGTTGGTTATTTGGTGAGGGGGGGGTAGGGTGATTGGTGAGAGGTTTTGAGTAAGTTAAAAAATAGGGTTGTTTTTTTGAAATAAATGGGGATAAGGATGGTGTTGGGGATGGTAGTTTGGGGATTTGATGTTTGATGTGGGGTGGAGTGGTTTTTTTGTAATGGAGGGGATTTATGGGAATGGTGGGTTGGGGGGGGGAGTGGGGGTGTTTGTTTGGGTATGGGGGTTGGGATGTTAAGGGTTATTTGGGGGGGGGGTTTGGGTTTAGATTGAGGAGTGGGGATTTGGATTTGGATTGTTGGGTTTGGGGGGTTGTGTGTTGGTTTTTGTTTTTTATAGGGGGGGGTTGGGGAGAGGTGGGGGTGGGATTTGGAAGTTGGAGTGGGGTGTGGGTTTGGGTTGGTTGTGGGGGTGAGGGGGTGATGGGGGAGGAGGGGGTGTATTGAGGTATGTGTTATGGGTGGTAGGGGATGGTTGGGTGTTGAGTAAATTTGGATTAGAGGTTGGGGGGTTTTTTGTGGGAAGGGATGGGTTATGAGTTTTTTTTGGTAGGGGGGGGGTTTTTGGTTTGGGGGGGGGGGGGGTTTATTTTTGGTTTGGAGATTTTTGGTTGTGGTAATTTGGTTTAGGTTGGGTGGTTTTATATGGTTTGGTTTGGTTGTGGTGTGTTTGTTGTTTTTTTGGTAGTGGGGTGTGTGTTGGGTGTTTGTGGTATTTGGGGGTTGTGGGGTTTGTTGGGTGGGGTGGGGGGGGGGGGTTGTTGGGGGGGGGTGTTTGGGGGGGGGGGGGGTGTGGTGTTTTGGGTTTGGGTTGGTGGTTGGGGATTTGTGTTTTATGTGTTTATGGTGTGGGTTGTGTTGGGGGGGGTGGGTGGGGGGGTGGGTGGGGGGGGGTTTTGGGGGGGGGTTGTTGGGGGGTGAGGTTTGTTGTTGTGGGGTTTGGTTAGGTTATTTTGGTGGGGGGGATGATGTAGTGGATGGGGGATTAGAGGGTGGAGGTGGTAATAAGTGGGGGGGGTGGTAGATGGTTATGAGTTTTATTGGGGGTGGGTTGTTGGGGGGGGTAATGGTTTTTTTTTATTATTTTTTGTTATTGTGGGTGGTGGGGGGAGATTGATATTTGGAGATTGATAGAGTAGTATGGGGATGGATGGGGGGTATGGGGTTGGTGTGGGAATTTTGTGGTTGTTGGGGGAGTTTGTGGGAGGGGGGGTTTGAGGGGGTAATTGGTTTTGATTGGGTTTTTTGGTGTGTTTTGTGTATTAAGTAATAGAGGAAATTGTAGTGGGATGTTAGGAGGATGATTGAATTAAGGAGAGGTTGTGTGTGGTTGTGGAGTGGTGGGTGGAGTGGGTTGTATTGTGGGAAGTAGGATGTTAGGGTTATTGGTATAGTATTGGGTAGAATGGGGTTGGGTAGTGTGGGGTAGGGAGAGGGGGGGGTTAGTGGGTGGGAGGTGGGGGGGGGTAGGGGTTATTGGGTAGTGTTTTAGGGGGGGTAGGATGGGGAAGGAGTTTTTTTTATTGGGTTTAATGGTTGGGGGTGGGTTTTAGGTTTGTTTAGGAAAATTGGGGGGGGGATATTAATTAGTGAAGAATGGGGGAGAGGTTTGAAGTTATTGGGGGGGGGGGGTGTTGAAGGAGAAGGGGGGGAATGGAGAGGGTGGGGGGTGGTGGGGGGAGAGGGGGGAGGGGATAGATTAGTTGTGAGGGGATGGGGAGGGGGAGGTAGGGTGGAATGATGGAGGTTGTGGAGGGGGAGAGGGAGGAGGGGGGGGGGAGGGAGAGAGGTATTGGGGGGGGGGGTTTGGGTTGTGGTTATTGGAGGTTTTGGGATTAAGAGGGTATGGGAAGGGGGGTTAAGGGGGTATTGGTTGTTGGGTTGATGTATATGGGGGGGTGTTGTGGGTTTGGGAGGTGTTGGGGGGGGTGTGGTGAGTGTGGGGGGGGGGGGGTGGTTTGTGTGTGGGTTGGGGGTGGGGGGTTGTTGGAGAGGGGTTTTTGGAAAGGTAAGTGGGGTGGGGTTTGGGATAGGGGGGGTTTTGAGATGGGGGTTTGGGAATAGGGGTAAGAGGTTTGAAAGGGGTTTTGAGAGGGGGGTTTGGGAATGGGGGGTGGAGGGGGGGGTTTGGTTAAGGGGTTGTGTGAGAGGGTTTAATAGGGGGGGGTGTTTTAGTAGGGTTGGGTTTGGGTTTGTGAGTTGGGTTTGGAATAGGGGTGGTGTTTTATGGGGGGTTTTTTTTTTTTGGGTGTTTGTGGTTGTGGGTTGGTTTGGGGGGGTTGTTTGGGAGGGGTTTGGGTAGTTGGGATTGAGGTGTTGGGGTATTTTTATGTTGTTTAATTGTGGATGGTGATAGGGGTTTGGTATGTTTTTGTTTGGGGTGGGGGGGGGGTGGTTATTGGGATAAGGTGGTTGATGTGGGGTGAGTTTGGGGTGGGGATGGTGTTTGGAGGGAGGTGGTGGGTATGGGGGGGGGGGATGGGGGTGTGTTTGGTAGTGTTTGGGTGGTGAAGTTGGGGGGGGGGGGGGGTTTTTATGGGGTGGGTTTGGTGGGGGGGGGGGGGGGGGGGGTGTAATGGTTTGTTTGGAGTAGGGGTTTGTATTTGGAAGGTGGGTTGGGGGGGTTGGTGTGTTGGTGTGGGGTTGGTGTTGGATGTTGTTTTTTTTAGGTTGGGGTGGTTGGTTTTTGTTGTGTGGTTTGGTGGTGTGGTGAGGGGGTAGGGGGGGTTTGGTGTAGTTGAGGGAGTTTGGGGGATGGGTTTTTTTAAGTTGTTTTTGGGGAGGGGGTGGTGTTTTGGGAGTTGGGGGAGGGTGTGGGGGGGGGAGGGGTGTGGGTGGATGGAAGGTTGTGGGTGGTTTGGGTTTGGGTTTGGGGGTTTATATGGGGTTTAGGGGTTTATAAGTGGGGTGTGTTTGGGGGGTTGGTGAGGTGGGGGGGGGGGGGTTTAAATTTGTGGTGGGTATTTGGTTGGGTGGGGTGGGGGTTTGTGAGAGGGGGGGGGTGATTGGTGGGTGAGGTTGGATGATGTTGGGGTAGGTTTTGGGGGGGTTGGGGGGTGGGTTGTTTTGGTGGTTGGGGGATTTTTGGTTTGGTTTGTGGGTTGGTGGGGGGGGTGGTGTGGGGGGGGTGGTTGGTGTGTTTTTTGTTTTGGGGTTTGTGAGGGGGTGTGTGTGGTGTTGGTGTAGTATTTTGGTTATGTTTATGGTAGGGGGGGGGGGGGGTTGTATAGAGTTAGGGAGATTAATATTTTTGTTTTTGGTGTTTTGTTTTGGGTGGGGTGGTGTGTTTGTGTTTGGTTGGTGTGGTTTGTGGGGGGGTGGGTGGGGGGGGGGGGGGGGGGGGGGGTGATGGGGTTGGGTTGGGGGGGTTGGGGTGGTTGGGTGGGGTTGGAGGTGGGTTGGGTGTTTTTTTTGGGGTTTTGTGTGGTGGGTGTATATTTGGTATTTTGGGTGTGTTGGTTTGGGGGGTGTTGGGTTTTGGGGGGGGGGTGGGGTGGGGGGGGTGGTGTGGGGTGGGGGGGTGGGGGTTTTGGGTGTGGGGGGTGGGTTGGGGGGGTGGGTGGTTGGGTTGTGTGGGTTTGGTTGTTGGGGGGGGGGGGTGGTTGGGTGTGGGTGGGTGTGGTTTGGTGGGGTGTGTGTGTTGGGGGTGGGGGGTTTGGGGGTGGGGGGGGGGGATTTTGGATTATTGGGGGGGTGGTTTGGAGGGGTTAGTAGAGGGGGTTTTGTAATTTAGAAAATGTTTTTGTTTTTATTTGTGTGTTTATATGGAATTTGTTAGATTTTATTGTTTTTTGTGGGGGGGGGTTGGTGTATAATGGGGTGTTTGGGTGGGTGTGGTTTGTGGGTTAGATGGTGTTTATGTGTGGGGTTGGGGGGGATTGGGGGGTTTTGATATTATGGGGGTAAGGGGTTAAGTATGGGGGGAGGGGGGGGTGGGAGGTGTGTATTAAAAATTTTGGATGTATATATATATATATATATATATATGTAGATTGATATGTATATTATTTATATATGGATATGGGTATGTGTTGTATTTTTTATGTTTTGGTTTTGTAGGGGGTTTTGGGTAGGTAGAATTGGTTTATATGTGGGGGTTGGGAGGGATTTGGTTTGTTGGTGGGGGGGGGTGGTTTGGTTTGGTGGTTGGTGGGTGGGTGGTTGGTGGTTTGTTGGTTGTTTTGGGGTGGGGGTGGGGGTGTGGGGGGGGTGGTTTGGTATGGGGTGTTGATTTGGTGTGTGTGGTTTTATTTTTTGGTTTTGGGTTTAGAGTGGGTGGGGGGGGGAGGGGGGGTTTGGTTTTATGATTTTGTTTTGGGGGGGGGGTTTGGTTTGATTTGTAGGTTAAGGTGTTGTTATAGTATGTATTGAGGGGGGGGGTTGTTTAGTGGTATAGGATTTTATGGTAAGTTGGGATGTGGGGGGATTTGGTAAGTGGGGTGGATTTGGGGGGTTTTTGGGGGTGAGGGGGTTGTTTGGGATGTGAGGTTTATTTTTGAGGTAAAGTTGAGGTGGAATGTGTATGGAAGTGGTTGTTAGGGGTTAAGTAAGATAAAGATGTTAAATGGTTGGGTTGAGCGTTAGTGGGGTTTAGGTTTGTTTGAGGGTGGTGGGGTGTGGGGGGGGTTTGATGTAGGGTGTGGGGAGTTTGGATATGTTTTAGATGGTGGTGGGTTAGGGGGGGGGGGGGGAAAAGTAGAGGGTATGAGGGTGGTAGTTGTAGAGAATGAGGATTTATTTTTTTAATTGGGGTTTTAGGTAGTGAGGTGGAGTGGGGATATTAATTTAAGGGTATTTGGGGGGATTATATGGGTTTGTGGATTATAGGTATGTATTTTTAGGGGGGGTTTTGGGTGTTTGGGGGTGTTTGGTGGGTAGGGGTGGGTGGGTTTGTGTGTTTTTTGGGGTTTTGGTAGGTAGGGGGGTGTTTATTTGGGAATATGTTTGGGTTTTGTGTTAATGTATTGGTGAAGGGGGGGTGTGTGATAGTGTTGGGTTTATTGTGGGGTGGTGTGGTTTTGGGTATGTTGGATATTTAGTGGGTTGATGGGAGGGGAGATTAGGGGATGAATGGAGGGGGGTGGTTTTTTGTGGTGGTTTGTGTGGTGGTTGTTTGGGTTGATTAATGTGGAGGGATTTGGTGTGGTGGTGGGGTGAAATGAGTTGTGATTGGTTTTATTGGGATATTGAGGGTAGGATTTTGGTTTGTTTGGTAGTATGGGGTGGGTATGGGGGTGGTTGTAGGGGAAGTTTGGATAGGGGGGGGGGATTTTGTGGGGGGTAGTGTATTTTTGATTTGTGTGGGGGGGGGGGTTAGTTGGTTATGTTTGATTTGGTTGTTGGGTTTTTGTGGTGGGGTGGTTTTTATTGGGGTGGTGGGGGGGGGGGGTTGTTGATTTTTATTTTGTGTGTGTGGGGGGGTGTGAGGGGGGGGGGTGTTGTGTTTTTAGTTGGTTTTGTTTTTGGGTTGTGTTATTTGGGGGTGGTTGGTGTTGTTAGGGTAATTTAATTTTAGGAGAGTGTTGGTGAGAGGGGGTTGGGTGTGGTAGTTGGGGGGTGGTTGGTGGGTTTTGGTATGATATTTTTGGGGAGGTTTTGTTGTGAGGGTTGTTGTTTTTGGTTTTTTGATTAGGGGTAATAGTGTGTTGGGGGGGGTGTGGGGGTAATGGGGGGAAGGTAGGGGGGGGGGATATGGGGTGGTGGAAGGTTGGTGTTGTGTATGTATTTTGAAATAGTATTGTTGAATAGGTGTTGGGGTTTGGTTTAGTTTTTTGTGGGTGTGTGGTTTTGGTGGGGGTTGTGTGGTGATTGTTTATTTGTTGATTTTATGTGGGGGGTTTGTGGTGACAGTTGAGGGGGGTGTATATTGTGTGTTGATATGTTTTGGTATTGGAATATGAGTTGTGTTTTTGGGGGGTTTTTTTTTATGGGTTTTTTGATGGGTTTATTGTTGATGGTTTGATTTGTGTGTGGTATGTATTTGTTTTTTGAGTCAATTGTGGTTCTCCAGAGCTCGGTTGTGGCGGTGGGTTTGACGGTTCTGCTGAGTTTGCTTGTGTGTGCCTATCAGTGTTGGTGGGGGGTGGGTGTTATTTTGTTTGGGTTTTTGAGGTGGGAGTTGTTTTTTGTTTGTGTATTTGTTACCAGTTTGAGGGATAAAATCCATCTGATATGGATTTGGATGTGTATGAGTTTAATGATTAAATGTTCTTTGTTGTATTTTGTGTGGGTATATGGTGGTTTTGTTGAGGTTGGTTCTTTTGAATATTTAAGTGTTGGGAGAGGAGGTTGAGTGTTCACAATGTGAGTTATGGGTTCTTGGGAGGTATAGAGTTAGCTAGCAATATCGGCCTACCGTGCTAGGACTGTACATGGACTTCTACAAGGACTCCATGTTATGACTATGATTTGACTGTCTCTTTGTTTGACACTTATGTCTGTGCAATGTGTGACGGGACAATGACTATGTAAAAGTGTGTAATGCATGATGACTGGTGTCAGGAGGATAGAATCAAGGGAAACCAGTGGAATGAAAATAATTAAATGTAACTGCATGAGTTTTGGCACACCACGATCCTCTCTGGGTCTGCCTAAATCCCGTACAATTCATCATGTCAATCAATCATATTGAAATCACTTCTTAAATTAAAAGAGATTTTTCTAATGAATCTAAACATTTTAGCAATTTGTTTTAAAAGCAGCTGAATATATAAGATATTTTGGGTTACATATACAGGAAAAATAATATCGACTTTTTGAGATTACCAAAAGACACTTTAGAAGATTCCCTGATGACTCGGAAAGTTGATCGGGGGCGGGTAAACAAATTGTGCTGACATATTATAGGTCTTTCATAATATTGCGGAGTATGGAGTAGTGTATATAAAACAAGGCGGGAGTACGATCTATCTGGGCGGAATACAAAATTCAAATAATTAAGACTGTGGATGTGGGAGAAAGGATTTTAATCAAAAAAGGGAAAACATGTTTTTTATAAGAAAGGTTAAGATTATGGTGAGTGGTGAGGGGAAAGCGCTGTGGGAGTTGAGTGAGTGTGTGATTTGACCAGATTATTTGAAAAAAAAATTAATTTATTAATTGTATTTAATGGAGTTGGTGAATAATGTAGTAAATAAAAGTAAAAATTTTGGATTATAAGGAGAAAGATAATGGTGGTATTTAGAATAACAGAAGAGGCCTAAAAGAAGGGACTATTTTGGGTAGTACTGAGGGGGGGTATGAAAATGGGGTATATTAATAGAGTAAGTGGGGTATAGCTGTAATAGTATGTAATGGGTGTGAAATGAATTTGAGAGTTGTTATTGTGAAGTTTTAAGCAGTTAGGGTTTGAGAGAGAGAGCAGGCGATGAGGTAGGTTTGGCAGGGAGACCGGGGTGGAGTTAAAAATAATGAATTCTCACTTGAACTAAAATTATTTGAAAGCAGGCTTCATTATGATATGTGATATTTATGTATTATGTAGATATGATTAGAAGATCAAGAGAAAAGGAACTGCTTGTTTTCTGAGATGGTAGGAGACACCCAAGAGGAGATGTTTGAGGATGATGATCGTCTCACCGTATATTACATGAGGTTTAGCTTTCATGAATCATATTCAGATGAGTTTGGATTGTGACTAAAAGTGATATAATGTTTAAGGGTGATAGGGGATGGTGGGTTGGGTGTAATGTATAGCGGGTTATTACATGTATGGAATGAGTATAGGTTTGGACTAAGTGTTGATTTACATTTTGTGGGGTGTGAGCGGGGATGTAAATACTCTTAGGGCGATAGATAGATTATCATAAGTTTGTAATGGATAAATTGGAGTAAGAAAATGTGTGTTGTAAGGTAAGAGATGAAGAAAGAGAGATGAGAAGAATAGGGTATTAAATGATCTAAAGTGCAAACTTGTGTTGATGTGTCATTTCGAAGAGGAATAGGGGGGAAGGATTTGTAATAGATAGAGTGTTATATAGGTGTATAGTGGGGGTGGTAAAAGGATTGAGAAATAAAGTATGGGGGTAAGTATGGTGATTAAGTAATGGGGGAAAGAGGTTAGTGTATGGAGGGGATGGGTAGGTAGAAAAATGGAAATAAGGAGGTGTGGGCAGGGATAAAGATGTGGTAGTTGGGTGGTAATGGATAAGAGATAAAGTAATATTAAATGAATAGTATTGGGGTATAGTGTTTGAATTGGGTTATTTAGTAAGGATTTTTAAGTTGTTGGATTTTAAGTTAAGAGGTTGGAGGTAGGAGATGGAGAAGTGATGATAAGTATGATAAATAAATATTTCGAATTTGAAAGTGTATGTATGTAGGAGGTGTGGTATGAAGTAAATGTTAGTAAAGTGAATCGAATAGTTTGATATTAGTATTGTAGGGTATGGGGTTGAATTGAAGGGTTGTATGTTGAGTTGAGGTTTGGTGGGGGGGGTATGATATTATAAGATTTGGATTGAAGTGGTTATGATAATTGTTTAAGGGGTGAATATAATAGTAGCTAGTAGATTGTAATTGTAGAGATTAATAGTAGTGGTTGAGTGGTAATATTTAGGGGAGGAGGTGTTTGGATGGAGAATTGGTGTTGGGGTTGTTTAGTGGGGTTTAGGTGGAGTAGAATATGGGGTGTAAGGGTGTGGTTAAAAGGAGTGTGGGGATAAAAAAGGTTAAGTAGATGAGGGTGTGAGGTTAGTGATGATAGATTATTTGTGGGGGGTTGATTGATGGAATTGTTTGAGTTAAATATAATGATATTGAGGGATTAAGAGTGAATATGTGTGTGAAGCGGAAATTTTAGGATGTAAATTACGGTTTGTTAAGATGTAAGTAGGGGTTTGTTAAGAAGTGGGTTTGGAAAGGGGAAGGTTTGTAAGAAGGTTGGGGGGTGTTGGAGGAGGATTTTTGGTATAATTATGAAGATATTGGGTGAATGGGTGTTTAGTATTTTGATGTGGGGATGTGAGGGGGTATGGTAGTGTAAAGATGGAGAGTAGAAAGAGTATGATATGAGGGGAGGAGAAGGGGGAGTAGGAGGATGGTGTTGGTGATAGAATATGGGTATGGTAAGTGTGGATGGATATTTGATTGGATTAGTGAAGTAGTTGGGATTATGAAAATGTGTAAAGTGGGGATAAGATGTTGTTTGTTTGGAATTGATGTTGTGATTATATGAGTTAGTTTTAGTAGGGGTATAGGTAGTTTGGGGAGTGAGTTGTAGTTTTTTGAAGTTGAGAAGGTATTAATATATTTAATTTGGATTGAATTGGTAAGGGGTAGGATAGGGAGGGGAGAGGGTTTTTTAGATAATAGGGAATTGATAGGAAGGGGTAGAAGGGGGAATTGTTTGGATATTTTTGGGTTTGGTTAGTATGATGGGGGGTGGGGATGGGGGGGTTTTGTGAATATGTTTTATTTTTTATTAATAGTGGATTTAGGGATGATTGGATTTGTGGGTGTTGATTTTTATTAAAGAAGGGTGGGGGGGGGTTTGGGGGGGGGGGTTTTTGTTTTGATTTGTTGTGTGTATAATGGATGGGGTAAGATTTTTTGTGGTGGGATTTATGGTTTGGGTGAGATGTAGGATAGGGTAATAGGGATAAAAATATTTGTGATTTTTATTGTGGGGATGTAATATTGATTTGTATGAAATTGGGGGGAATTGTTTTGGTAATTTTTTGGATTTTGGAGTATAGGGTGGAGGGGAGGAGAATTGGATTTGTTGGAAGGGGGGGGGGGGGGGAGGAGTAAAGTGAATATGGAGATTAAGTATGTGGGGTTAGATATTGATGTTTTGTCTTGATTGTAGGTTAGATTGGTGTAGTTTGATGAGAGAGTGTGTAGGAGGGTGAGAATAATGGAGTTTGTTTGGGAGGATATTTGAGGAGATGGAGTAAATTTTGAGAGGTGGGATTGTGATTTTTATGGTAAGTATGGTGGATTTTGGGGTTGGGGGATATAGGGAGGTGGGATTTTGGGGGGGATGTGTATTTTGTTTTGATATTTGTATGGAAGTGTAGGGTTTATATTTGTGGGATTAATATTAGGGGTGGGGATTATAAGAATTAAGTATGATGGATTGGGGGGGGGGGGGGGGGAAAGGGGGGTGGATGAGATGTGTAGGAATAATATGATTGGGGAGAATGAGGTATGTGGTTGGTGTATAGATTGGTTTTTGGTGTTGGTGAGAGAGATTATTATTATAGGTGGTGTTGGGTTTTTTTGTGGGTGTTTGAGTTAGGGGAGGGGTGGGGAGGTGTTAGGATTAGGGGAATTGTTTTGTGGTTGAGAGGGGATGTTTTTAATGTTTTTTATAATATAAGGTTAGGGAAGGTTTGAGGGGGATAGATATGGGGGGGGGGGGATTGTTGGGGGGATAGATGTGGGGATGTGGGGG